CACATCCTTGCTTTCCGACATCATCTCCTAAAACAACGAGATTCGGCGAGTGGAAGTCGTCTGGTCGTCAACGCTCCTAGTGCGTCATCGCTGCGAGCCTCCGCTGATGCCATCTTCATTCGCTTCAGATGAGTTGATGCCAAACGTCGCCTGGTTTAGCCCACTTTCATCCGTCATTGCCCAACCAAAACAAGCTAACCAAATGCAGGCCGACAAGATCCATTTCCGCTTCGCTGAATTCCTAGGCCTCTGCCACCCCTAGGGCCGCCACCATCTTCGGGATCCTCCTCCCCCTCCTGGACTCCTAGCTCGTCGCCGCCCCAAGGGCCGTTGTTGGAGACCTCTGCAGCCGTCGTCGAGGAAAATCTCTTCCACCCGGACTCCCAGGCATCTGTCGTCCCTAGGGCAGCCACCGCCAACGGGATCCGCCTCCTCACTGCGAACCTTGCACCGGCACTCAGGCCGCCACCGTCTCGGTTCGATCGCTGCCCCTAGGGCCGCCGTCGCTGCCGGAGAAGTCTTCCGCCCGAACTCCCAAGCACTTCTGCCAGACGCCACTGCGAACGATACCACCTCCACCCAATCCCGCCGTCTCCTTGCCAAGGATACGCTGCCGACGTTTAGGCCACCGCAGTCCGAAGGGACACCGCCGTCGACTCCAGAACACCTCAGCTACCGCCCTTAACAATCACATGGCTAGATCTGGGCATAGAGGTCACACTAGTAAGCTGCTACCCCTAGGAACATCACTGCTGGTGAGCATACCTCCATCCTCCGTCGCCATCTTCACCACCACGCCGAAGGGGACAGGCCACGCGCAGAGGAATCTGCCGCGGCGCTGCCAACTGCCTAGCAGCGGCAGCATGCCACCCGTCGTCCCCTACTGCCCTGAGGCCGTCGCCACTCCCCCACTTACACTGTCCATCTGCCGCTTCCATCACCACCGCGCCGCCCCACCAGAAGGAGCCAGCACCACCGCTTCACTAGCCGGAGCTAGCGCCACCGCCCACCTCCAACAGCGTCGCCGCCACTCTGCCACTAGGAGAGTGAGTCGCGAGTTCTGCTCCAACCAGACGTCGTCCTCGCCGGAGCAGCCGACCTGCCGACGCCACGCCCGAAGCCTAGCCGCCGCTCCCGCCTGCACGCAAGAAGCGGCCATAGAGAGCTGCCGAGAGTCGAAAGGAACCCCGCCACCACTGTCCTTGCACCCGCATGGAACTCCGGCGGTGTGCTCAGGCAGCGCCGAGGTGGGGAGGAGTCGAGGGGTCGGGGGAGTCGAAGGGGCGAGGTCAATCTATACTATACTAATTGGCTGGCTCATCGTTAAACATTCCATTGAAATTTCAGCGTTTGAGAGGATTGATCATAGAACTTTGTCCATGCTTAAAAATTTTTCTGACTCCACCACTACTATTTGCACGTTCTTTAGTAGCTGACAGTTAACAAGAAAGATCTGATTATTAATTCAATAGATCGTATTGTCGTGAACGTAAATCATGCTGATAATGCACATGTTAAATAAATCACGCAACGGAAAATTTAACACTTTTAAAATTCATACTTTGTAAATATGATATCGTACATCCTGAACTACTCTCATATTTTTTATTAATTTAATACTAAAATTTAAAATTAATAATTAGTTAAGGAGTAACTGCCTGAACTCTTCGTTTTAATATAACCAGCTATAATTTTAAAGCTAACCAACAAGTTTAACATAATTTTAAATATTTAAAATTCAATAATAGAAAGTGTAGCATATGGGTTGACGACCAGTTCTCTCGATTACCAAGTGACAAAATGGCATGCTAGTTATTGTGTTGCAAAACATGTAGTAGTAGTAAAATGAAACGTGAAGTTCCCAAGGAAAACAAAAAGGAAATGTGAAGATCTTCATGGGCCAGCTGCAAGCTGGCCATCCTCACCTTGTGCCACCTTGGGCCCTCGAAGGGCATGCTTTCACTTCCATAAGTTTGCAGGCCCACGAGCTACAAGCTGATCACACACAAATAGTCCCGATCCGTTGCTATCAAGCATCGACTTCAGTCTTCAAGACACCTGCACACCAATAAACCAAACACACAGTTTCGAACACAAACATCGCACCCCACATTATTTGACATGTGCATGAGTTAAAGATGCAACATAGATAGTCCAACCTATTGCCACCTACTCACATTGCACTAGCATTTCCACTTTTTCATCTCGAAACAATTGTGCCAACAAAGCATGGTTTCACAAAATGTCATTTCTGGTTTTCTAATGCTAAATTCATACTACTACGCTATAAACTGCGGAGCAAATCAGGGAAAGGAGAATCCTGGGACGGTGAACACGGCCTGTCACAAAGTCTGTTTCGCCTCCCTTAACTATAGTCCCTGGTGGGTTCTCCTCCTCGAGCGGTATTGGTACCGGTTTCATCCTATGTGGCTCCCATGTGGCACGTTGACTTGATCTTTGTTTGATGTAGTGCGAATGTGACGCTCGTATGGCATTAGTTTCAATAAAAAATTGAAAAAAGAAAATAAAAAATCCCAAAAGGAACCACATGCTAGTGATATTAACACCTCCTCCTCCTATAGAAAAAGGCCCATTTGTCAATGTCCCCATGTTATTTTTCCTTTTCTCTTCTCTTCCCTCCTCTCTCCTCTCACTCAGTGCAACCGTGGCAGTGACCTAGCTAAGGCCTGGTGGAAAGATCCAGGGTCTTAGCGATATGGGAGGAGAGGGCTCGTCAGTGCACCTGTTCTCCTCGCTCGCAACTTTGCCTCATTAGTCATCATCATCCGTCACCACCTGCTATACCCCTTGCCACCTCGCTCCTCAGACACCTCATCTCGTACCATGTTTTCCGCTGGCTCTGTCCTCCCTCCATGCTTCAACGGATAGCCGGAGGAGCCTACTGCCGAGAGGAGCTCGAAGCTCCCAGAGGCCACCTCTCACCATGACCTCGCGCGAAGTCGGGCATCTTGGGCTAGGCGTCATCGGGCACTCGAGCCGAAGATGGAGGAGATGGGGCAACCTCCGCTACCGCCCTTCCTTGACAGCACCGGCCATCCTCTTTCGTGTGATTCTGCCCTAGCCACCAACTGAATTTGCCTCAGCGAGTTGTATCCCGCCGTCCTACTAGAGATTAGGGATGAAGTTCCCCAAGCTTCGCGCTCGTTGCTTGGTCGCCAACATGGACAAGTACGGCGAACGGTCAAGGAGGTAGAAGGTTGGGGAAGGGAAAGAGTGCCACCAACACAAGCGCGTTGTCAATCCTTGCAGCACCACCATCGTGCCGCGGAGAGTCATAGACGGAGGCCTCTAGCTGCTCTACAACCCACTTCCCACCGTTTGCTGGAGCGCCGTTGGAGTCAGCGTCTCCCTGTGCTTGGGGACGAGCGGATGCGGCTAGGCTTAGGGTGCCCAAAATTGGTCACCTATCTCTCTACCACCATTGTCATCTACTAGCGCCCCACACAAGCTCGTCGGCAAAGGAAGCATGCCATATTGGTAGAGAAGCGTCCTAGGATTAGAATACGTGGAGGCCTAGAGGGAGGGGAAAAGAGGAGATTTTAGTGACGTGCGTCCACTACTTTTTTTAATTTTCTTTGTTGAATGTGATGCCACGCATGACAAAATAGCTATCAAAATCATTTCGAGACTCAAATTAAACCAATTTTGGGAGTTGAGGGAGTCTATGTATCTGGTTTTACGGTTGAGGGAGGAGATTTTACGGTGTGCGTGGTCCACTACTTTTTTTTTAATTTTCTTTGTTGACTGTAATGCCACGTATGACAAAATAGCTATCAAAATCATTTAGGGACTCAAATTAAACCAATTTTGAGAGCTGAGGGAGTCTATGTATCTAGTTTTACGGTTGATGGAGGAGAATCAATTAATCTGGAGAGGTAAAATGAACTTTTTTTTCCAGATGGCGGTCATAGGAGACTGCAATGCCCCTAAGGCGTACAGGTCGCCCGGTTTATCGAAGTCCATCAGTCAAGTGAAAGCCTATGAGCGATATATGGGCCTGACTTGGGCCTAGTACCGGATGGACTAGCACCGATGCAGGCAGTGCTGATGCGCTGTGGGCTGACGAACTGCTCAAGTGCAACAACGCTAGCAACGAGATTGTCACCGTTAGCTCCCCTTTTATTTCATACTTCTAGTACACTAGAAAATTAGTGTGACTGTTGGCCCGCCTATTATTTTATAACACATGCGGATTTTAAATTTTTAGTTTGATGGACAAAATATTGTGTTCATCCTTCGTGTTAAATACCGACGGATTATTTTATAATCTTATTTATTAGCGATTCTGTGTTGTTCTTTTTTCATAAAGTTTGCTTCCTCGTCTCTGTTTTAGTAAATTTCTCTATATATCTCTGAGTCCATTTGAACTGCGCCTTGCCAATCACCAATAATTTTGAACATTCAACCTCTATTTTTACTGATCTATACAGTTGGACCATCTCTAAACTAATCTACTAATCTTACCTGTGATCATGTTGCAAATTTGTTTGAAAATAATTTTTGTTTTAGTATAAAGATAATATATCAGACGACTGCACTTTATAATAACATCCTTTTAGTGTTTCTCGAAACATGGTATAGTACAATTTTTTAATGGGCAAGGATCGTTTAAAATGACATGGATAGTTTGTTTAAACCACATTACCTGCCACCTGGCTCCCTAGCATCTAGATTCTAGAGGCAAGGGCCCATGATGAAAGACAAAGAACGGCTATAGAGGGGGTGAATATAGCAATTCAAATCTTGCCCCCGAAAATACTCATCAAGCCGGATTTTCTCAAAATCCTTACTAGAACCGCGGATATTAGAGAAGCCAGATCTAGAAAAGAAGAGAGAAGGAATTCCCGAAACTAGAAGAGGAAGAGAAAAGAAATTCCCGAAACTAGAAGAGAGGTGAGGAGGAGATAGCAAAACTCATCATCACAAAGTTCAAATTGCAAGCGGAATTTAAATTGCGGAATTTAAATGAACAAGAAAAAAAAAACGAAACCCTTCAAATCATTTTATTCATAGGTGATGCAAAATAACCACTCAACTAGGAGCAAACATACACCTTCAGAGGAACATTAACACAAACTTAAAATCTCTCGGACAAACACACTCCAAACTAATCCTAATACAAAAGCCTCTCGGGCAAACACACTCCAAACTCACACCGAAACTCTCTCACCGAGCATCTCAAAAGGATTACAAAAAGAACAACCTGCACCCTTGCAATCATCTCTCTATTTATAGCCTAAAACTCCTAAGACATTGTCTCAAATACCCCTAAGGCGAAACCCTAACTCAGAACAGATCTGGTCCATCCATTGTTCCTTCTCCTCAAGGAAAAGCTCTAGATGTTTGCCACCTCATCGATCCGAAGCCTCACATGCAGATCAATCCGCGTGCTCTCCATCTTGATGAATCAAAGCTCGCCACGTCGCCGGCCGTGCCACGCGCGCTCGTCTTGATCCGCTCTCCATCCGTCCATGCGAATCCAGAGCCGTCGCGTGTCCAGCCTGAGCCGCTCCCGCGTGCGCTTCGTGAAAACCACGTTCCCGCCCGCGCCTTGCGAAAACCGCGTGGGACCTAGTACGTACGGTTCCTGCGCTCCAGCCGCGCACGTTGCTACCTCCGCCTTTGGGCCGTGCGCCCGCGCCTTCATGGCCTGCTCGGCTTAGCCTCCCTGCCAGCCGAGAGCAATCTTGGGCCAGCCACGTGCCTGGGCCAGATTGGTTTGGCCTCCCTACCAACCAAGCTGCTAGCCCACATGCACACATATGCATGCATGCCTTGGCTGCACCACCGAGCCATGCATGTGCATATTGATCATGACACACATACATGCTGCACATCTTTCTCTATTCCAATTTTCTTCACGGATTCTGGCACTTGCACTTGACCTTACGAAGCCCGTTGTGAAGACCTCCTCACACGGTGTCCGTCCACCGTGTACAACCTTATGTCCAATCTTGTCACCCGGCATCCTTGATCGTTCTGGACCTCAACTCCTTCTTGAGTCTAGTCCCGATCCGCCGTTGACCAAGATCAACTCTGATCACCTGCACACACATGAACCAAACAACCATTATCTTGGCACAGATGTCGCAACCTGACCAATGTTAGTCCACGCACACACTTCTTGCACTTCTGGTACTTGTCAATTTTCCATCACAAAAGAACCATAACCACACATGGTTTCACACATGATGGCTGGATGTCTGCACGGCCCAGTAGGGTGTCTGAGGGGCTGAGGTGCAGGAGCACTATGCGCGAGAAAGCAAGCAGCGAGGAGCGCATCAAGAAGGGTTTAGGGACATGTGTCAATCAAATATAGGGGAACAAATCGACCAATCAAATGGCAGGATAGTCTGCCAGATTTAGAATAGTAGATTTTTCCGTGTCTTATACTTTTGTCCATTCAATTTTATCATCGTTTAATTTTTAATCAGGTTAAAACTATATTCCCTAACTTGCAAAACCAGTAAAAATGCCATATTCTACACCATATATTTTTCGTGGAATATGGATATAAAAAGGAAAAAGTACGAATTACCCCCTAAACTATTTTTGTCAGCCGAATTACACCCCTAAACCACAAAACCAGACATTTTTCACCCTAAATTTTTAATACCGGACTAATTACCCCCCTCGACACTATTTTGAGCGGTTTTGAATTGAGCTTGCACACGTGGCGCCAACATGGCAATCACGGTCAGCAAATTCAGTGGGGCCCACCTGTCATTGTCTCACCCTCTCTCTCTTCTCTCTCTTTCCCCAATCCTGTCTCTCTCTTCTCCCTCCCCTCACGGCCTCACCTCCTTTACCCACTGACGGCAACAAGCTGAAGACGGCGGCGCACGGGGCGGAGCCAACTGGTGGCGCGGAGGGGGGCCGAGGACGGCGGCGAGCCATGCGACGGCGGATCTAGCTTCATCACGGGAGGAGGAGCAGCAAGCAACGCGGCCTCACCTTCCATCGACGCAGGGAGGGCGGCGCGAGAGCATGGGGACACGGGCGAGCAGGATTAAGAATGAGCAGGGGGACACGGGCGAGCATCCCACTAGCGGCCTGCTTCTTGGTGGCGTCCACCGACGCCGTGAGGCCACCAACCACGCCGTCGATGGACTTCCTCCAAGCGCCGAGCGCGTCATACGCCGACAGCCGCAGCTTGTCGTACCCCTCGGCGAACGAATCCTCCACTTGGAAGATCTTCTTCCCGAGGGAGCCGATGAACCTCGCGAAGGCGGCCACGGCGTCGGACGCGCCGGCCGGGAACGTGGTGGGCACTGGCGCGTCCAGCAGGGCGAGCTCCGCGGCGTCGCTGACTGTCGCGTCGTCGGTGGTGGCGGCGAGGTCGGAGACGGCCGTCAGCGTCGGCGGCTCAACCCCGCCGCAGAAGAGCGCGTCACCGGCGTCGATGCTAGGCATTTCCGCGGCGGAGAGCCCCCGCACAATGTCGTCTGGTGAGGTGGAGTAGGGGGAGACGATGGAGGAGTCGGCAAGCAGCGGGCGGTCGGGCACCGGCCACGCCACGAGCGGGTCGGCGGCTTACGACCTCACCTCCACCACCCTCCCGCCGCCAATCGGTTCCCTCTCCCGTCCACGTCTACCGCCGGCCGGATCCACCAAGCAGCGTCCGCTGCCGCTCTGTGCTATCGCTGGCCGCCCGATCAGCCTCTGCCTCCACCATGGGCAGCCCCGGCGAGCTCTGCCTCAGCCGCCCGCCACCCGGGCGAGTTCCACCTCCGCCGCTGACCGCCTGGTCCGCCTCCGCCCCTCGCAGCCGCCTGCCCAAGCATGTGCGTGGGAGAGAGAGAGAGTGCGTGACCAGGGTGAGAGAGCGCGTTGGGGGAGAGAGAGGTATGACAAATGGGACCAGGGAGGTATTTTTATTTTATTTTTTTGCTGACTATGATTGCCACGTTGGCGCCACGTGTGCAAGCTCAATTCAAAACCGCTCAAAACAGTGTTGAGGGGGGTAATTCGTCCGGTATTAAAAGTTTAGGGTAAAAAATATCTGGTTTTGTGGTTCAGGGGTGTAATTCGGCCGACCGCTATAGTTAGGGGGGGTAATTCGTACTTTTTCCATATAAAAATGGTACCGAGTTAGAATGAACTTATGTTGAAAATGAACCAAAGTTATCAAAAACTAAAGTTAAACCTAGCCACTAAATGGTTGTGATGTTGTATGAGCCAAGCATACGTGTTGTGTATGACCTAAAAAAATTGAATCCTCGTATTTGAAGCTTATAACAAGATTGGATTAAATTGGTCAAACTTTTAAAACTACAACCATTATTTTTAGATTAAAAAAAGTTTATAAAATCCAATAAGCCTAATGATACTATGATACTTTTAGGCAAATCTTTTTTAAACAAAGCATTTGAAAATTTATTGATGGTCAGAACTTCTTCAAAAGTTTGATCAAAACTTATCCTCAATGTCAAATATTTATAACTAGAGGAATAAAACTTAATTTGTTGGTGGAGGGGCATCGATGCGATAGTGGGCGGGGCTGGTGTCACATCCCACCCTTACATCATCTATAGTAACATTAGAAAAGATACGCCTCTGAAAATTGATGTGAACCGACTCCTACAAAAATACGATGTTGGTATCAGTCCCGGATACAAATGTTGGTACCCACAACCAACGGAGTAGCAACTAGCAACTAAGGCTGTGTTTGAGGAGAAGGTGATAGAGAAGATTGGGAAGATACGTAAAACGAGGTGAGCCATTAGCGCATGATTAATTGAGTATTAACTATTTTAAACTTCAAAAATAGATTAATATGATTTTTTACAGTAACTTTCCTATAGAAACTTTTTTAAAAAAATACACCGTTTAGTAGTTTGGGAAGCGTGCGCGCGGAAAACGAAACAAACAAACACCATATCACCCTAGAACGAACGCAGCCTAAGTAACTTATGATTGATTGTACCTTATAAGAGTTAAGAATAACACTTCGAATTATAGCTCATAGCAACTAAATAAATATACAGTGTTAGATCGTTATATTAAGGCCGGGATCAACTTAAAACGAGACAGCAAGGGCAAGAATTATACCTTTTCGATTTTGTTCTCCCTCCATTTGCACATCCTGCAATGATGCAAGAGGAAAACCTCGTGACAAAAGTTTTGAAATCCCATTGCATTCTCTATATAGTGCATCCTGCTCGTGAGTTTGGATTCCGGAGTTCCAACGCTGCAATTTTCTTCTCCATGTAGTGAAGTACTGTTTTGGTCCATGGAGACAACAGACAAGGCAATCATGATGGATATGTCGGCCGGACGTGTGCATGCATCGAAGATGAAGAGGTGTTGAAAATATGTTGCGTGTGTATAGAAATGGAACAGTACTAAATTTAAAGTTCTGATCGTCCAGTTGCTGTTCCTCTGATAGCAATGTGCCACTCAAGACAAGGATGATATCCATGTAAACTGTGGCGATCTTTTGGGTGGATTTGCCACTAGCTGTAGTAGAAGATAGAAGTGAAAAAAAAAATACTGTTATCATCACCCGGGATTCAATTTTTATTAGAGCAGGTTTAATAGATCCTAATCAGCCAGCGCTAGCACGCTACGCTTCAGCCAAATCTGACGTGGAGAAGTGAGAAGGGAAGAAAAAGGATGGAGCGGACGTTCCATCTATCGCCCGGCTGAAGCGCAACACACGAGAAAATCAGGTGCGAGGAAATCAGGTGTACATGCGAATATTAAATGTCTAAATCTTCAATAGAGGTAAACAAACAGCTAACTTAACAGCCAGCCTATTATATTAATGATGGCTATAGGTGACATGGTACTAGTATAGAGCCGGCAGGTGGCTATATTATTATCCTTGCTCTTACTACATCTTCCAGTAGATTTAATACCAGATTGATCACCAAGAAAGATAATGCAGTAATCTTTACCAGAAATTACTGTTACCACATGATTGCTCTTTGCTTCTCCTCCGCTGCTGCTATCATAGTACAACATCTGTTGAAGATAATACAGCAGCAGAAAAGTTTCAGAAAGCAACAATTGTTACACGCCGCACGCATAAGTTTTTCCCTTGTCTTGACGTTAAAAAAGCGCGAGAGAGCTTAGCTTTACGCTGCACTGCGACCAGGTTAGGCATGCATATATAATATATATATATACACACGCATGCAACTTTAGGATCAGAGACCAGAGCGTGTACTGTGACCAGATGATCGATCAAAAGAAAAAAAAGGTTGCTTTTATCGCGAGTAACCGAGGCAGGCTGCGTTGCAGGGCTCGATCGCAGCGTGCATGCGACACAGTGCGCGATGATATGCTACAGCGTACAGGCGAATGCGTACAACTTTCTTTGGTCATCATGGTAAATAGTCCCCTGAGCCGCCGAGCAGAGAGCGTTGGACACGTCCAAAGATGGCAGCTTCAGTATTACGCCCCCCACAGTGAAATCTGAGTGCTGGGGGCACATCGTGTTGACGCTGTCCGAGCCTATTATTCATCATTGGGCGATTTTTTTTATCGTAAATTTTTATGTGCTCAATTAGTACAGTTTCACATGAGCTGATCCACAACTTCCATGGCTCCAGTTAAGTTATTGCAGCCTTGCAGGTAGTTTTGCACTCGTGAAAAAAAAAAGTATAGTACTGTACCTGGTTAGTTTTTATCCTCATCATTTAAGTGAACAGGAAGTGTGAAGTCTCTTTGTAACCTGGTATGCACGACCATCCATTAATTGCAAGTAGGGACGATTATATATTATTAAGTAGTACCCTTGATTCTTGCGTGTTGCAGAACGCATGTTGCTTCTTATAATTTGTTCGTAATCACTGAAAAAAAATGCTAAACAGTCAATCTGGTCCTTCAAATTTCGTTGGAGGCTTGATTTTGGTCTTGACGTCTTATCAGAGTCCGGTCCCCACTCCCCAGGTTTTCATTTTGGATCAAAAATCATTGTGTGACTCTCGTTCGATCGTACTAGATTAATATCGCCAATGTCACCGGCCTATATGCTTTCTTCACAACTTCATATAGATAATCAAACGAAAACCAAAAAAAAAAATGAATCGCTTTGACTATTGACATCACTAGGGCGACCTTAAACAACCTGATATCCAAAAACGGTGATAAGGTGAGATCTGACGTGTCTATCTGCATTTTATTCTATGTCACTCACCACACGTCTCCACGTTATAATTCGCCCCCTTATTAAACTACTATAAGCAAGTTATCCCAATACGTCGGTTTTTTAGTATAATTATTTTCTTGTGCTCCAACAGTTGATGCCATGTGGCCGCTTGAGCTATAAATTTTTCTTCCCCTTTAACGATAGCCTTGCCTATTGTTAGAGATAGAGCCAGCTATTGGGCAGGTTGGGCGGCCACCACAGAGCTCCACCGCTGACACTTCTAATATAGATAGTTGTTGACGTCTAAAAAAAATTAGTCGATCACCAAAAAAACACTATTAATCACCTTCTTCCCCTTTGGCAATAACCTTGCCTATTGTCACTGACGGAGCCATGCACCAAGCATGTTGGTTGCCCTTGCTCCGCTACTGATGTTTTTACTACAGATAACCGTCGGTGTAAAAAAATGATCAATCACCGAAAAACACAATTAATCGTTCGGACTCAAAGGCACCGCATTGCCTATGCACCTAATAAAGTCAGTGGCACAACGAAATTGCTTCTACAAGCCATAGTGGCTTGCCCCCTTCTATCTCTAAATAATGGCTTTGTTCTTGATTGCGAATACATGCACACCATTTTCTATCTACTCTCTCCGTTTTTAAATATTTTACACCGTTGACTTTTTATCACATGTTTGACCATTCGTCTTATTCGAAAAATTTTATGAAATATATAAAACTATATGTATACATATAAGTATATTTAACAATGAACCAAATGATAGAAAAATAATTAATAATTACTTAAATTATTTGAATAAGATGAACGGTCAAACATATTTTAAAAAGTCAACGGCGTCAAATATTTAGAAACGAGGGAATATGTATTTTTGTTGAAAAATATATACGTGGGGACTCGAGATCTAGCAAATGCATTATTGCGCGCGCGCAAGCAATCATATGTAAGATGGTCCTAGCTAGGTCATCCATGAACATGTACGTCCCGTCCCGATGTCCGTATCCTGCTCCCTGGCCAAACGATCCATGCTCTAGCTGGTAAGAAGCAAAGCTGGCCTTCGATCGTTCCCAACTAACAAATTCTGCACGTAATCTTTGCGTGCATCAGCAGCGCTGTTCAGTCCTTCATTTTCCTTGCAAACACACGTCATGGTGTTCGGCGTGATTTCCTCTCGAGAGGCATGCGACCGTGCATAGCGAGAGCTGTGTACCAGTGCTTCGATCACTTGCAGAGAAATCAGAATTCTAGCTCTCTTGGTCAAGAACTCCATGGCCCCCACTCTACGCGAGCTGCTTGTCTCATTGCATCACTGCATACTCTACTAGATAAACGAATTTTACCAACGGGAGGCCATTTATATTTTCAGGCGGACCAAAAAATACTTTCATATAACCCTGCCTGTAAAAATCAACTTTTTCAGGCATACATCCTATGAGATTTGCCTAGATAAATATGATTTTCGCAGACGGAACCTTAGGTGGTCCTCCTGCAACTTACGAGAACACTATTAAATTTGACCATGCCTCATTTTTTTCTCTGTCTCCCTCACTTTTTCCTCTCCCTCCCCTTCACTTCTCTCCCTCTCCCTCTCCATCTACCGGGGACAGCGGCAGCGCCGGCCACAGCCGATGACAGCGGAGGTGCGCGGCCCCTCCCCTCCCTCCCTCCCTCCTTCCCTCTCCCTCCGGCTCCCCTCCCCGCCACTTCTTTCCCTCCTAGATCCGGCGGAGGGGAGGGGCGGCGGCGATGCGGCTCCCCTTCCTCTCCCTCTCCCTCCCAGATCCGATGGAGGGGAGGGGTGTCGATGGTGGCGCGGCTCCCCTCCCTCTCCCTCCCAAAACTAGATCCAGAGCACTGGATTTGGTGTCGGCTGTGCTCAAGAGCATCGGATCTAACACCGGCGGTGCTCTTGTCAAGCGTGGAGACCTCGAGCGCACCACGACGACGATGACGGCGGGCAGCAACCACGGTCAGGCTCTACTCCCGCCTCCATCTCCTATTGGTCTCTCGGCGGGCAAGCTAGCTCCTCCAGTCCTCTTCCTTTCCTCTCCCAGATCGCATGTAATGTAATTTGTGAATTTGAGAATGCTACGTGAATTTGGTATCGAATTTGTGAATGTGGACTTTGTGATAGAACTTGAGGTTTGATTTAGATTCGGTGACGGGATGAGGAGCAGTGTACGCTGCTGATTTTTTTTCACCGAATATGATTTTTCTAGGTGGGTTGTACAAGGGAGCCGCCTGCTAAAATTGATTTTCCTAAACGGACGGTATAACTCAGCCGCCTGAAAAATTGATTTCCGCAGGCGGCCGAGACGTCTGCCTACGAAAATACCTGATTTTCGCAGGCCTTTACTTACAGGCGACATGTCTGATCGCTTGCGAAAACCATTTTTGCCGCTTGCAAAAATGGTTTTTCTAGTAGTGTAGATCGAGCTCTAGGGTGAGCTAATTTGGAGGTTGATTCATCAGCTAGTCATGTGCACTTTGTCAGTTTCGTACCAGATTATGTGCAAGCTGCAAGTAATTAGTGCTAGGCACCACAGTCTTGTCCCCCAGATGAGTGAAAATAATGCGAAACATGGATGGTCTATTGGTCCAGGCGACGCGGCGACAGGGGCCCTACGCATATGCACGAAGAGGACGATGGTTAAGCTGGGTCGTCGCCATGCAATCTGAAGTCCGTAGTGCATGAAATCTCCGGGACGGTAGGTAGCAGGAGGCATTCACAGACACATGTTCTTGATTCCTAAATTTTGCCAACATCGCGATCATGTAGAAATGAACGGCGAGATGCATGCATGGGAGACTTGTTGCAAAGTAATTAAAGGTAGATACGGAAGTTATAATCCGATATGAAATAGTAGAATAATACCGATCAGCGCGAAGAATATGGAGGCCTGCTTTGGGATAAAGGTTTTAGGGGGAAATTTTGACAGATTTAAATTATAAATAGAAAAAAAATTAAAGGGTTTGATATACTTTTAAAATTTCTATGGAAGGGATTAATATATAAAAGGTTTGGTAATTTTTTTGATAACTAGTTAGAGAGTACTGACTAGATATGGAGCCAACTAACTTTTGATATATATATTACTCCCTCCATTCCAAAAATATAAGGCACAACCACCCTTAACCCAAAGACCAAGAAATAATTATTATCATCTTATAGTTTGTATCATCCTAATAAATATAATGCATGCATCCAATACGATTAGATAACATGATAGTGGGGGATTTAAAAAAGTAATAATTTAATGGAGAAGATGCTATAGTTAATTGCATACTTGCATGCATGCCTTATATTATAGAATGGAGGGAGTAATACATATGTACATGCCTTTTCTCCGACTTAGGGCACCTCCCCACCCCACGGCAATCCTCTTTTTTTTAGAGTGTTTTTTATTAATTTGTAAAATCTATAGACTATAGGTATTTTCACTGACATCAACATTTAGATTAAACATTTCTGGTGTGCAAGCAAAAAAAAACCAGTTTTGGAATTTTAACCCTGCTGAAGTTTTGCAATTCTTTGAAGTTGATAATTCAACACTCTCTGACTGAATCCCTTCCATACGTACTAGAGACTGCGAAGCTACTGTGTGCCAAAAACACTCGGCAACACCTCGAAAACTCTCGGTAACACAAGTTCCCGAGAGAAAACTCCCGGGAACGCGCTCTCAGCAGCTTCACACCTTTACCGTGAGGTTCTTCCCGTGCGACACCGCATGTACAGTCGGGATGATGTACAAAATTACCGAGTAAACACAACCGCTCGGTAACAATCTTTTTAACGGCACAAGCCGTGTACAAGACGGGACAAAGCCGGGAGGTAAAAAACACGGGAAAATTACAATCGTTACCGTGTGTAGTACTGGATACACGGGAATGCTGAAATTGTTGCCGTTTGTTTGTGTAGCTCACGGTAACTTATTGAAAATGAACATTAGGTAACATTGTACCTGTTTTACAGATTTCTTATATATTCATGATAGTACATCACAAATATGAGACAAGAACAGTCACACAGATTTCACACAAACTTGGCAGACAGAACATAGGCCAGCATTAGAGAAACAAATTAGAATCATACAAAAATATCATGTGAACATAATAAGCTGTAGATTCTCTGGTATTATTAAGAACATCATGAGGCAAGAACACAACATGAATGGATCTACATACTAGCTAGCTACACATGACTCAATAGAAACGGAATGAGCCTCAGTTCTTACAAACTCTGCCAGGGAGGCAATAGACACATCTTAGTGGCTGACTAACCAAATGTGTGCATTGACAACACAAATCAATCCCAGTCCTTTGCCATGATACCTAAAATTATACAAAAAGTTATATGAGAGCCAAATGATATTATAGTTTGTTTCACATACCACATTATGAAGCAACAAGCCAAATGATATTACAATCAAGTATGAAATTCCAAATGACAAAGAGGTGGCATGAAACAACTTTTGTGAGAGCATATCTCTTAATGTGTTTGTGTGTGTGTGTACACCACTGCACAGATAAAAGAATGAAGGGAAACATCTTTGCTACCGCTTCTTCTGAATGCCTGACAACAACATAGGCAAATATACTCTTAGTATGATATATTTGTGATTCTTAATTTAGTCAACACTATAATGAATCTCTTAATCGTCATTTTTTTCTTCCGTACCAAACAAACTTACCATTGACATAAAATAACCACGACAGAGAATTACCTTCAATCAAGTGGGAGATCCAACCAATTGTTGGGATAGAGCAATAATTTGCATCCATGCTCTGTCGCTAGCCCTACATCTCGTCCTGATCATGACCATGGCAGAGTGCTTGGTGCAATCAGCTCCATGTACTGCTTCCATGATATTCTGCAGCCTCTCCAGTACACAGCTGGTCACAGTTGCAGAGGATGAAAAAATTGAGGTGGTCGTGTACTGGAGTTCATGCATGATATCACAAATAGTTAATAATAATGTTCTACAAAAAGAACATTAGAATATTATGCACTTGAAGAAATGATTGTCATTTTGTGTTGCATTGCCAGGAGATTAATATATTTTGGAACAAACTGAATCTTATCCTCTCTCTCGTAAGGAAAATATGAAATCTTATTCACTCTAGCAAAAACTGAATTAGATTTTCAATTCACACAATCTGTAAAAAACACAACCGATAGAAGAAGATGCAAGCAACAATTAACAGAACATCTCCTCCATTTTGATTAGGGTGTTAGCAATCTTCAGTCTTAACTCAGATCTTTAATTTATGGTCTACCACTCATTACAGTGTAGAAGAGGCATAATTGGTTATAAAAACCGATAGGGGAGAATAGGATGTGTTAGGATACTCTGTCATGGAACCAACTACCTGTGAATCTTAGTGCTGAAATGTATTCTTTAGAAAGCAATTTGACAGCACAGATAGAAGCAGGAGCAGAAAACTAAGAACTGAAGGGAAAAAAATAAAAATCCAAAGATCCTCCATGCAGCAATGCTGCACCATCTGCATGCGCCACCAGGTACAAGATGATCTCAAGCCGTGCAGTAATTACCGGTTTCTGTCACAGCGACATAGTCAAATAGCACCAATAATTAACCAAGTAGAAATGTATGCATAGCTGTTCACTAAAAGAAAGTAACTGAATTTCAGTTCAGCAAGAAAAATGTAATTTAATGCAAGGTACAAAGTATTTCTAACCAGACTGGAAAGAATCTAGCTGCTCCACCCTCCATTCTGCTATAACCCGGTCCCCTTACCATTAGCATATCGTATATAGTCTGCAGATATTAATTTCAGAGACGGGTCAAATCTGGTCCCCTTACCATTAGCAACACAGAACACTCTTTCAGAAGGATAAATGGACAACAGGTCGATTCAATATATAGAGTTTGCAACACTATATTCGTTTGCTCTGTACAAAGACTGCATGGTGGCATCATAATATCCAAATTACTACTAGCAAATAAAGCTTTACAATAATCTGTCCCACCAAGCACAAACGGAGCTGCAAGAGGTTCAACAAATTCTGAATATGTTCTCCCCGACCAAGAAACTTCTGACCAAAGAGAAATATTTACCCTGATACTAAAATTTGTACTTCTAATGCATATCAAATAGCATACCATGGTTCCTTTTGGAAAGCTGCAGAGCCACAGATGGAAAGATGGAGGTGCTTTACTGACCTCTCGTTTACGAAGCACGTTGATGTAGATAGGGCCGAGTAGAGTCGTCTGCCTCAGCCACAGTGGCGTCCTAGCCTAGGAGGAGCAGGCGGGGTTAACAGACGGAGCTCCGACTTCATGTGTAGCGTTCCTCCCGGAGCAGTGGATGGAGGCGGCCGTCACAGGTGGGGATGAAGGTGAGGCCCCCTCGATGGGGATGTGCCCACGGCGGACTCGGCTTGGATGGGGGCGTGGTGTGGTGATGTGGGGCTGGATGGGGCAGCACGGCGGCGGGGACCTGGATGGTGTGCGGTGCGGCGGCGGGGGCGGGGGAACCGGGGGAGCACGTCGATGGAGTCATGGGGATGAGTGGTGGACGCGAGGATTGGGGATTTTTTTGTGACCTAGTAAGCCACACAAGAGAGGTTTGGATAAGAACCCACGAGATTTTTTGGTGCCCGCTGCACGATTTCTGACAGGTGGGCCTGGGCTGTTACCGAAGGCAAATATACAGATTATTCTCGGGAATCAACTATTCCTTTCGCGCCAACGAAAAACAAAGCCGGCCATCCTTCGGCGCCAACGGAAAATCGTCCTTCACTCTGACGGAAATCATCACCTACCAAGCCAAATAATCCGCCCCGTCACGTGGAAACAGTGGGTCCCAGTGTTACCGAGAGTATCGGCTTGGCACACGGTAATTTTTCAATGTTCCTGAGTTTTTATTTGAAAACACACGGTATGTTCACAATCTTACCAAGAGTAGGCAAAACCTCTCGGTAACGGAGAGAGGCACACGGTAGCTTCACAGTCTCTGATAGTTATACCCTCTAGGCTTTGCCTCAATATCCCTTCTGTTTCTCAAAATTCATTTTAAATACCTTGTTTCCATTCTATTAGTAGTCTGTCCTTCTTTATTAAAACAAAATGACCATAATACTCTTGACTCGCAATACTAAGGGAAAATAATATCTCTACCAATATCAAACTATCAAGGGAAAAACATTCCGTATACGTAAAATTCCTAATAATGCTTTCAAATTGAAAAAACCAACCTAATAATGAAAAATATCATATAGATTTCAACCAAATTTCAATACAGTATGTTTTTTTTTTCAAATTCATGCTGCGGGTATTGAAATTTAGTGAGTTGGGTATCAATGAAAGATTTGGTGATTTAGATAACTGTTCTCCCAATATAAGTATTTATTAAAAATAAAAGTTCACTTATTTGATTTTATGAGTTAAATTATGAAAACTACCGAATGTTCCTAGAATTTCTCCAAGACTCGATTTTTATTGGTTTTGTTGGATTGGATTAGCCCATGTTCATCCAAGTTATAGGACTCGAATACTGTTTGATGATTGACTCAAGTGTTTTGATTTATCAGGTGAGGCCTATATATGCTTATAGATATAAGTAGAGCAAAGGGTGGTACTGGTATGGTTATTTTTTAGAAAAAACTTAATGGTAAACTACTGGAATAACAAGTAGATGATTAAATCAAATAAGTTAGGACTAAGAAATGCCACAGAGATTAAGAGAGATTTAGAAAACAACAATGGGGCTAAGGGAGAACTCACGGTACATCAGGAAGGCTATCTTTCTATCCATATATATCTTTCTATACCGTATTTCTCTGACCAAAATGAAGGTTAACAAAGGGGTGAAATATGATGGTCATGCATGGTACTATCCATAATTCTCAGCTATCACTATTGTGTGGTTTCTTTGTGAGGCCTTCTTGATGACTTCATGTTCTTTTCTAAGTCATGTTAGACCAATAGAGATTTCTCAAATCTCTCATGATCAGTTAACTAAAAAAACAAATTTCAGTCAGCTCTTTGGACGGATTGCTTTGCGATTTATGCGTGAGTAGTGAACATCATCTTCTCCTTTTCAGAGCTCCGCAGCTCACTGGCGCTGCCCTCCTCTCCTCGCTTGCTGGCTAGAATATTCGAAATAGCATTAGCGAGCCAGTCTAGACCGCCTCATCCTCCTCCTCCCCCCCCTCCCTCCTTGTACAAGTTCAGCAATGTGAACCACCCACCTCACTAACAGATCCTCCACCAATCCACCCCACCACCAATCATGCCCATTGCAGGCTTCCACCGCCCGCCTGTCATTGTCGCCCACTGCCGATCCACCCTTCGCCCAAGACTATCCCTTTTAACCCAAAGGAAACCCCCTCTTCCCCCTCCTTTAGCCCGTCTTTCCACCTAGACCCTAACCTAAAACCCAAATTCATATCTTTTAATCCATTAGAGTTAAGGTGTCGCTGTTACCGTACCAAAGAAGATGTCCATAATCCGCGTGCGCACACACACAAAGAGCATCGGTAGGTAAAAGGTGGCTGAAATTCATTAAAACTAGCAATTCCCCTCTTATATATATATTAGTTAGAAGAACTGATCAACATATAGCCACAGAAAATCTTCTCCTTCCCCTATCATGCATGTCCTCTTCTGTTCCGACTCCCGTAGGACACTTCAAAATCAAACTAACACCTGCACAACTTCGACCGAAGAAAATCCGACTTCAAAGGCGCACATACACACAAACAAACACCCTCCTAGTGCGGCTAGTGCGGCTGCACTCGCTTCAACTGCCACGCCAATGGTGAGGAAGCTGCCGCTAAGCTCCGTCCTCTACACCATCAACTCGGCCAGGGACATCCCACCCTCGTCGCCTCCCCCTCCGGCGGCCACTCCACCGGCATGGATGTGGCCTTCTTGCAAGCACCCTAGAGCTCATTCCTTCCGTTCACCGTCCGCCGCCTCGGCAGCCGCAGCGGCCAAGACCATCGCGTCGATCTTCCTCGACTCCGGCGAGTCCTCCTTCGCCAACTCATCCGCGCGCATGCACCACGACTGCGCCTCCGACAGCCTCTCCACCGAGTCCGACGTCTCCGCCACGGCCGAGGACATGGCCGACGCCATAGTCCGCGGGCTCCGCTCCGACCGCCTCCTCTTCGAGCCCCGCGCGCCCTCCAGCTCCATCCTCGATAAGAAGCCCGTGCGCCGCGCCGCAGGCGGCGGCGACGACGACGACGACGGCGCGGCGTCGTTCGGCGGCGGCGTCGCGGTGGCGTTCGACTCGGAGGATCCGTACGAGGACTTCCGGGCGTCCATGGCGGAGATGCTGGCCGCGCACGGCGTGGGCGACTGGGGCTGGCTGGAGGCCATGCTAGGGTGGTACCTCCGCGCCAACGGCAAGGAGACGCACGCCGCCATCGTCGCGGCGTTCGTCGACCTTGTCGTCTCCACGGCGGCAAGGGGCTCCAGCTCCTCCCGCCACTCGTCGTTCACTCTCGCCGGGACCGACCTGGAGAGCAGCAGCGCCGGCGGCGGCGCCGCCGGCCATATCTCTTTCAGGCTAAGGTAAAATAACTAAAGCTAGCCCCGAGACAATGCGGGCTGGCTACCTACGTGTGTGTGTGCGCGTGTTAATTAATTCCGTTTGTCTTTGTGCTAAACTGTAGTAGCACTTTCCAATTGAATGACGAAGTAGCTAGCTAGCCTCCGGTTAATCATGGATCAATGCCAGATTACCGATAATGCACATGACTCCTCCTACCCGTCGTGTATCAAGCTTGCATGAGTGGAAGTAATCAAGTAAACTGTAATATTGAGTGTAAGTGTGTAACTAAGTTTGTACCCAGTACCCGCAGAAGCAGCTGGTAGTGGTAGCTATAGTAAGCTAGCTATAGCTGCCGGACTACCGGCACGTATGTACGTGCAACATGTGGAACGTAACAGCTAACAGTGACAGCGATGTGACCAACGTAACACAGTACTTTGCAGTAAAAGTTTACACATGCGCAGCACCGGACAAGGGACGGGGGTTTGGATCTAGCCGGCAGGCGCGAGCTGAGATCGATCGATCCACCGAGCCGCGGGCGGCGGGCGCGCGCGGGCCGCATGCCGCATGCAAGCACGGCTCGCTCTCGATCGATCTGCAGAGCAGTAGAGGCGACAGCGAGCGTACGTACGTACGAGCGCTGGGGTGTACGCGCGCGATCCATGTGAGACGAACAGCGGACGTCTTATCGGTAGCGGTTTGGGCGGCCGGGGGCGGTGGTGGGGGTGGGGGTCGCGCGCGTCGATCTTGGTCCCCGTGGGGCCGTGGATGCACGTGCCGTCGAGATCGGTATCGGGAGGGGGGGATACGGACGGACGACGCGGAGCCCGCGCGGGCGGCGACGTTGATGCGGCAGCGGCATCCATCGATCGGCCGCTGGCTGCGCGCGCGCGGGTGGAGGGGGCCGGGGGACATACACCGGTTGGAACCGATCGATGGGCCGGATGGCGGGTGCAGCGCTTTAGAGCAAGTTCAATAATATAGCCCAGTACAAGCTCCAATTCATCTATAGTCAATCTAATAACTAATTTATACAATAGTTACTTACTATACTATTAATATATGGCCTCACTTGTCATACACACATTGCATCTTGGAGTCCATGCTGCAGCTGGCTACAGCCTGCTACAGATCTGTAGCCCGCTGTTATTCTCTCTCATCTTTTATCTTATTAAAATATGTTTATTTTTTTTAATAATGAAATAAAATATCCCGGCTTTTGCTCATCAGAGCTACAGCCAATTATTACAAAAGTAACACCCAAACACTGAGTGTAGTTCAAATGAATTAAACACACCCAACAAAATAAAAGATCAAACTAAAATAAGGAGAGCACATTTATTCAAGTCTATTTGTGAATCTCCATCCATAGTTTGCAAGGAGTTGCATGACCATTGTCTCAAGCCTACGATATGCAACCTTCATAAGCTCTTGATTATCTTCACACATTTGTAGCTGTGCCCAAAATCGGAACCAATATGTTGCCTTGAAAATTACCTACATATATGAGATAGATGGTGATTTGTCAAAAACCATATCATTCCTAGTCAACCACAGAGCCCAACATATGACAGAAGCTCCTACAAGTATGAGTTTACTCTTCTTCTTGTCTACCCCCAAGAGCCAACCATCAAACATATTAGATATTGTAGTAGGAAGGTATAAACCAAGAGAGAACTGTACTGCTCTCCAAACAAATTTTGCATAATGACACTCTATAAAAAAATGTTGAATAGTCTCATTTTTCATTAAAAAACAACATCTTAAACTGCCATTCCAATTTCGTCTTGCCAAATTATCCTTGGTTAGCACAACCCCTTTAAGCAAGTACCACATAAAATTCTTAATCTTAAGTGGCATCTTAAGCTTCCAAATAATCTTGTTTCTCTCAATATAACCATTATTAATTAAATCTAGATACATCGACCAAACAGAAAATATTTCATTCTGATGATAATTCCATCTAAAACTATTAGAGGATTGATTCAATTGAATATGTACAATAGAAGCACACAATTCATGCCAATATGCAAGATTCTGACCAACTAATGATCTCCTAAAGGAAACATTGAGTGGAACAGATCTCATAACATTAGTAATAGTAGAACTTTTCCTTCGGACAATAGAGTATAAAGATGGATATTTGTCTTTAAAAGCCAGGTTTCCTAGCCATTTATCTTCCCAGAACCTTATTTGTTTCCCATTATTTACAATCCAAGAACCCATATATAAGAAGGTATCTTTGACCTTCATGAGACCTGACCAAAAATGAGAATCGCCATGTTTCTTATTAACTTGGGTTATAGACTGATTGTAGAGATACTTTCTCTTCAATAGATTTTGCCATACACCTTCCTCGTTAATCAACTTAAACAACCACTTACTCAAGAGACACTTGTTTTGTATTTTCAAGTTATGAACCCCTAAACCTCCATGATGCTTAGGTTGACAAATGATATCCCATCTAGTAAGTCTATACTTTTTTTATGGTCATCCCCTTGCTAAAAGAACCGTGATCTATAATAATCAATTTTTTGAAGAACCTCTTTCGGTATCTCAAAAAAAAATCATAAACATAGTTAAACTTGAAACTACAAAGTTAATCAAAACCAGTCTACCCCCAACAGATAAATGTTTTCCTTTCCAACTACTAAGTTTTTTCTCAATTCTTTTCTCAATCATTTTCCAATCTCTATTATTCAGTTTTCTAACATGCATTGGTATACCAAGATATTTAACAGGGAGAGAGCCAAACTTACAACCAAAGATGTTAGAATACTCATCATAATATTCCTTTGCCTGACCAAAACAAAATAATTCACTCTTATGAAAATTTATTTTCAAGCCAGACAACTTTTCAAACACAGATAAAATCAATTTAAGATTCTTCGCTTGTTGTAAGTCATGTTCCAAAAAAATGATAGTATCATCTGCATACTGTAAAATAGATAAACCATCATCCACTAGGTGAGGGACTACCCCATTCAATGAACCAGCATCTTTAGCCCTCTTAATTAATAAAGTAAGCATATCTGCTACTATATTAAAAAGAATTGGAGATAAAGGATCTCCTTACCTTAGACCTTTGTAAGTTTGAAAATTATTACCGGTCTGATCATTTACTCTAATACCAACATGTCCCCCTTGAATAAAAGAAGTTATCCACTCACACCATTTAGGAGAGAAACCTTTCATTCTGAACGTCTGTTGTACAAAAGACCATTTAACATTGTCATAGGCTTTTTCAAAATCGATCTTAAAAATCACATCACTTTTATTTTTGCGATGTAATTCATGCATAGTTTCATCCAAAATAACAATACCTTCCATAATATTTCTCCAAAAAAACATATCATTCCTAGTCAACCACAGAGCCTAACATATGGCAGAAGCTCCTACAAGTATGAGTTTACTCTTCTTCTTGTCTACCCCCAAGAGCCAACCATCAAACATATTAGATATGGTAGTAGGAAGGTATAAACCAAGAGAGAACTGTACTGCTCTCCAAACAAATTTTGCATAATGACACTCTATAAAAAGATGTTGAATAGTCTCATTTTTCATAAAAAAACAACATCTTAAACTGTCATTCCAATTTCGTCTTGCCAAATTATCCTTGGTTAGCACAACCCCTTTAAGCAAGTACCACATAAAAATCTTAATCTTAAGTGGCATTTTAAGCTTTCAAATAATCTTGTTTCTCTCACTATAACCATTATTAATTAAATCTAGATACATCGACCTAACAGAAAATATTCTATTCTGATGATAATTCCATCTAAAACTATCAGAGCTTTTATTCTAATAAATATGTTTATAGCTGGCTAATACTCTGCTATTGTACCTGGTCTTACCAATGGCTCGCGTAGTCGTTGAGGGTAGTACTCATGGCTAGGGGCCAGCTGTGTGTACGTTTTCTTTTGGTCCATCCGTTTACTATCAATCAGGTCGGTCACTTTTAGGTAGCTTTGCTCTAATATTCGTGCACTACTGATGATTTATCAATCAGAGAATGCTTGGACTCGGGGAGTCCCATTGGACACTGTTGCATGCGACGTTTCCCACTTCTCGCTGCACAGCATGCTACAGCATTTGGGCCATAAAGGCAAAGATTGCTTCTTTTTTTTCTCAATCCCAAATGTCCATTGCATATGAGGGTGGTTGCTGAGACGGATTCATTAATGCTGAAGATGGCTTTGGAAGAAAACTCTTTTGCTTTGTCGGTAATTAATGGGAGGAATCATTCGTGTGAGCCAAAAGATGTAATTTTCTCCAGTTTCGTGTCTTTCCCTGTTAATTTTTGCCCCCAAGGTTGTAATCGGGTAGCTCGCGCCATGGCAGCGATGGGTTGTAAGTGCGAACTCTATTCTAATCTCTGGTGGGAAGGTGTCCCCCTAGAGGTGGAGGGTTTGGTGACCATTTAGGGCCCCTTTGAATCGCAGGGTAGAAAAAACGGAGGAATAGGAAAAACATAGGATTCTGATAGGAATTGAAGTGTAAAACAGAGGATTGCAAAACACAGGAAAAACACAGGAATGGTCGTTTGATTGGAGCGCAGGAAAAACGCAGGAATCGGATGAGAGAGATAGACTCAAAGGAAATTTTCCAAGAGGTTGGAGCTCTTGCTAAATTTCCTCCAAAATCTACATGCAATGTGTCATTCCATAGGAATTTCATAGGATTTGGAAAGCTTCAATCCTTTGAATCAAAGGGCCAAATAGGAAAATTTCCTATAGGATTTGAATCCTATGAAATTCCTACATAAATCCTTTGATTCAAAGGGGCCCTTAGCTGTGTCAGGGAGGTACGTAATGGAAGTATCTTTACAAGTAAAGAAAAAGTCCGTTGCATATATTCCATCTGTATTTAATGTATGACGTCGTTGACTTTTTAACTAATGTTTGACAATTCATAATATTCAAAAAAATTATGTAATTATTATTTATTTTATTGTGACTTGATTTATCATCAAATGTTCTTTAAACATAACATAAATATTTTGATATTTACACAAAAAAAAATTAATAGGATAAATGGTCAAACATCGATCAATAAGTTAACAATGTCATACATTAAAATACAGAGGGAATACTAATTAATGACCGGATTTCACTGCCCTCTAATCACAAAATCTGCCCTTTTTCTCCAATCATGCAAGTAACACTCTATTAGCAAGTTTCAAATGGCCTTTTTCACCTAACTTTTATTTATCTGATTATTCGATTACACCGTTGTATTGTTGGTATTAATTAACATTTACAACAAGATTTTGTGTCATTGTATTCTGATGAAGACAGAATATATATGTTTTAATCGTTAAGAATTGATGTTTCATGTGTGAGAGTAAAATATTGGTGTGTTTCACATATTTTTCAAATATTTGAATTCTTATTTTTATTCACGACATATAACTTGATGTTTTATTAAATAAATTTGACCGTTTGATTTTTGTCATCGTATTGAGTGCTCGGCGACTAGTCTCCCCCTTATCAATCACCTCTGATGCTTTGCACACGCCCCCACAGCACCCTCCACCCAGTGCCACCCTTCCGCGCGCTCTCTATGGGTTCCTTCTAAAGTCACGCACCTTCGTCGACAATCATGGTGTCCTAAGAGCAAGTTTAATAGTATAGCTGGTTACCAGCTCTAAAAGTTCAATGTCAACAAAAAATAATGGAAAGAGATAGCTTGCACAACAACTAGTTACATAGCACATTTCTCTAAAAGATTGTTTTATAATTTTCTAATCTAATCAGCTCTTGCTATTGGCAGGACAGCCATGCATGCATGAATCAATGCGCTGGAGCTTGTGACTAATTAAGCGTCAGCCTTTCTCTCTCCAACCGTTCTCTTTGCTCCACCTCAGCCAAAAACTGAATTGCTTATTCCTATCGCCGGTTGACATAAACCTATTGAACCTGCTCTAATGAATCATGCATGCTTGCAGGGTTGTGCAGTGTTGTTGCTAAGCTCACATTGTCACTAGAGAAAATGAAGATAACTCTTTGGTTATTGGATTGAAACCATAGAGTTAGTGAATGGTGATCATTACTCTGGCTAGCAAAGGTGTTTTCTTTTGAAGTTACTATCAAAAACCCATACAAATGAATAGATCTGCCAAATTATCTTAGGTCATATTTATCATAGCTCCAGAGATCTTAGATCCATGATGGATTTAAAATTTGTATGTTAAATTACAGTGGTTTAAAATTTTAAATTTCATCTAAAATAGGAAAAAATAATTTATCCAAATATTATCAATGTAATCGCAAATATGTACAGATCCATGGGTTTGTGGAGCTACGAATACCTAACTCCAAGAAATCTTGGATCTGAAGTTGTGCTAAAGAGGGCGGAGGACTTTACACGATACATAATTGTGGACATTAAGATTTGTTTTAAACATATTTTTAGGAGAAATTTAACTTGTGTTGCCCGTTTAAAACTTCTCTAGGTTATAGCTTATTCAAATGGTAAGCGGGAATTTTTCTACAATATTTGAAAAACAGATTTCGAAACACTTATAGATTTTCTAATATCAATGAATCATCAACACATCATCCAACTCATTTTATCTAAACTCAGTCCCAAGTTTGAAATTAATAATCTGTAGATTTCAAGGTTAAATAGCGTGGAAATTTTTAATTTTCGTCTAACAGTTAGTTTTTAGATCTTTGTAAAATTTAAGGCTTCCTGCAACAGCGCCATGTCACAAAACACAAAACACAAAGTGAGTAGGGGTACTATATTTGTACACTTTGCAAACCGCCAAACCCCGTTTCTCCTGCCCAAGCGTTTTCAGGTGGAAAGAAACTACCACCATCACTGCTATAGTGGGTAACGGCTGGCCGGTGCACCGGGCCTCCCCTCCGGCCAGCCAGCCTCACGTGGATGGGGGCAGCTGCTTGTGCTTGTCTGCTCCAACCAGAGCTGCGGTCCGCCGTGTGGCAGCTGTGCTGCCCTTGTCCGTCTCCCTTAAATAGTTTTGAGTCTTTGAGAGCTTCTTGTTCATTTTAGAACGGACGGCACCACTTCCATAAAAGAATCTTTTGGCCCCCATGGTCCACGGCCTTTGGCTTCTACTCTCTCTAGCCCCACCTGCGCCATCGGCCATCGCCACCAGTGGGCTCGATGCGTCATCCACTGTGGGCAGTGCCATCACGAGGCTATATATTGCAGGTTTGTGCATCGTACTACTATACATACACTCAACAGTGTAAACTCCAGTGGGCTGAACTAGTACTGCTCCTACCACCACCTCATTCACGCAGTTATTAGTTATGACAACAACAAAATAACTTCGGTAATAACTCGAGCCCTTGCAAAAGTTGTATAAGCATGCGAATGCCATGGCCGGCCGGGTTGCTGCTACTTTTTTCTCTTGTAAAAGTTTCATGTGCTGCGGACGGCGGGAGGCACAGGGTACGGCAATAAAACGTGAGGCGCTGCGGCCTGCGTGCGGCAGCGAGCAGGGGCAGGGTAGAAGAGCCAGCCGCGCGGCGCGTCGCGCGGTGTGGTCCAGGCTCTCTGCCTCTGCGAGCCTTTTTCTGTGTGTGTGTGAGCTAGCTAGCTTGCTTGCTTGCGTTCTCGATCGGTGCTGCAGTGCAGTGCAGTGCAGCTTTACTGGCGCACCGGCGCGACGCATGAGCATTTGCGTTGCATTCGTTTGTTCCCATCCGCACGTATGTACGGATGCTACCGGCACGTCCTTGGTACTTCTCAACTTCAGTACTACGCACGCACAACTTCGTTGTTAGTACGGCTTGACTGATTGAGGAAGAAGATGTTTGATCATCTTGAGCTTTGCAGAATTTGTGATGCTGGGCCATTGGCCATTTTGCCCTGTCGTGGCAGCTGGATGTACGAAGTTGAATGGGAATATGGAATGACAGTAGAATGATAGAGCACCGCACATCAGCCAGCAATTGTCTTTGCGCCCTGGACAGTTTGCTCTTGGCCGGCGTGTGCCCAGCTTTCCAACTCATCATGGGTCAACTACGCAACTAACGCTCAACACGACCAGGCCTCTCAGCTTTACATATATAGATAGATGGATTGACGTGAAACTTACTCGTACCTCTTGAATTATACACATATCCCACTATGTTTTGTTGGGAATATTAGTTGCAACTTGGAAGATATGTCACTTGATAACAAACAGGCAGGCGCCGCACCGCATCAAGCTATTTTCATTCGAAATATAATAATGACAGTACTAAGAATTTTAAAAATTGAAACCATCATGGGCCTGAAATTGGTAAAGCCCAACTGCAAGGAATAAGTTCACTTTAGGTCCCTCTATTTGTCGCCCAGTCTGATTTTCGTCCCTGAACCACAAAACCAGGTACGAACCATCCCCCAACTTACGAAAACCGGGCAAACGAGGTCTCTCGGTGGTTTTGATAGCGGTTTTAGCTGACGTGGCGCCTACGTGGCTAATTTGACTCGGTCTTCATCTGACGTGGCGCTTACGTGGCAAGTTGATCGAAAAAAAATAAAACCAGTGGAACCCACATATCAGTTTCACACCCAAATAGAGGAAAAATGGTGGGACCCACGTGGGCCCCACATGTCATCCTCACTTCTCCCTCTTCTCTCTATCCTATCTCCCCTCTTCTCTCTATCCCTTCTCTCTCCGGCCGATGGAATAGGGCGAGCGGCGACGGCAGAAGCGGGCGACAGGCGGGGCGGAGCGGCTGGTCGGCAGAGCGGGGCGGGGCAGCGGCTGACGGCGGGCTAGGTCAGGTCCTCCTCCTCGTGTTTGCGGCTAGCTCGCTGGATCTTCACGACCTCGTCCGGTGCACCGCGCCACTTGCAGGCGGTGGCGCCGCCTCGTCACCACCTCACCGGCAACGTGGTGTACATCTGCCGCTCCATGCCGCCCTCCAGCCACCTCATCCGCGACCTCACCGTCGGCTTCTTCCACCAGACCCACGAGGACGACTCGTCTTCCTCGGTCGCACCGCCTCGGTTCGTCCCGTTGCCCTCGACCTCCTCCAGGTTCGGCGGCGGCGAGCTTGACAGGGTGTTTGACAACCCCGGCCTCTTCAAGAACTCCCGCCTCGTCGCATCACGGAAAGGCCAGCTCGTCGTCGAGCTCCGCCGCCCTTAAGTGACAGGTTTCCCTAAGTGATCGACGAACAAGCTGTGGAAACACATGCGAACACGAGGAAACACGCTGAGTTTTGTGGTGCGATGAAGCTGCACCTTTTCTGGTTTTCTTTCTCCCTTTCATTATGCAGGTGAGCGCATTGGATGCGTTCCCACGTCGCGGTACAATCGCGTCCATCCCCACGATCCTAACAACGTGCTCACGCCTCCGATCGCCAAGGTCAGCATGACTACCACTACATGCATAGCATCCATAGACCGGAAGCTCATGCACAATGCAATAACAGAATTGAAACCGATAGCTAACAGTTAGTAGCTACATGCACGCAAGATTTAACTAACATTAAGCTCGTCGTGTGCAACCCCTTGACCGGTGAAATGGCCATCCTCCTCCCCGTCCTCTCCGGGAAGGACAGGCCCGGGCTCTACGCGTGCGCGCTGCTCACCGCCGACGATCTCCAGGACTCCGCCGATCCGCTCCCACCGGGTCCCGCCGCCTTCCGCCTGTTGGTCCTCTACAAGCGCCGTAGCTTCACGGCATGCCGGTCCTACTCGTCGGACACCAAGGCCTGGAGCACCGAGCGCAAGCTATCCGGCGGGACGGACCTCACCACGGGGGTGGGGCTAGCCACCGCCGCCGCCGGCAATCCGAAGGACGATGGGGGAGATTCGCCGCCCTCCCCGCGAAGAAGGAGGCGCTGCGGGAGAATGGCTGGCGCACCGCGACCTGACCCGCCGTCGGCCATGTCCCGCCCCGCCCGTCGCCCGCCGCTCGCCCTGCTTCATCGGCCGGAGAGAGAGAAGGGATAGAGAGAAGAGGGGAGAGAGAGGATAGAGAGAGGAGTGAGGATGACATATGGGGCCTACGTGGGTCCCACCATTTTTTCCTCTATTTGTGTGTGAAACTGACATGTGGGTCCCACTGGTTTTATTATTTTTTTCAGATCAAATTGCCACGTAAGCGCCACGTCAGTGCCACGTCAGATGAAGACCGAGTCAAATTAGCCACGTAGGCGCCACGTCAGCCAAAACCGCTATCAAAACCACCGAGGGACCTCCTTTGCCCGATTTTCGTAAGTTGGGGGATGGGTCGTACCCGGTTTTGCGGTTTAGAGACGAAAATCAGACTGAGCGATAAATAGAGGGATCTAAAGTGAACTTATTCCCAACTGCAACGGAGAGTACACATGGGCCTACCAAGAAGGAAAGCCCAACTGCCCAAGCAGTCAAACAAGCAACGTCTATCGAGGTAGGATCGAGCCGTACGTCAAGGTGGTGCTTTACAACACGCACAAATATGTCTGCACCTGGCAAGTTTCTCCCCATGGAACACGCTTTCACATGAATTCTGCGCACGGTCGATCGGGAGTACGGCGAATGTATACGGAAATTATTCCCTTCTAACATCCTCCACACCTTACAACGGATTAGACTCATATAATCAAGGAAAAATACGAATTACCCCCTCCCCCCAAAAAAAAATATCGTGGTCGGCCGAATTCCCCCTGAACCCGAAAATCAGACATGACTCACTCTGAACTTTTAATACCAGACGAATTACCCCCCTCGACCCACTTCTGAGCGGTTTTATCCTACGTGGCGTACGTGTAGCAACCCAGTCAGTATTTTCTTTTTTAAAACATGATGGACCCACCTATCATATACTCTCTACCTTCTCTTCCCCTCTCTCACTCTCTCTCCCTCTCTCGGCGAGGACACAGAGCGCAGTGGCTACAGCGTCGTCATCATCGTGGGAGCGCTGGACACGGAGGCCGCGGCGGCGGCGGCGCAGGACGTGGAGGCCGCGGCAGCGCTAGACACGGAGGCCGCGGCGGCGCGGGATGCGGGGGTGGGGGCGGTTGTGTCGTGGGATGCGGAGGCGGTGGCGGCGGCAGTGTGGGATGCGAAGGCGGCGGAGGCATGGGATACAGAGCCGGCGTCGCTACCCGCTGCTCGACGATGGAGACGAGAGAGGGAGTGTGCCGAGATCAGGGACGGTGCGGGGGCCGGCGGTAGGAGGAGATCCCACGCCGCAGCCGCCGCCGCCGCCACATCCTCCGCCGCCGCATCCTTCGCCACCGCATCCTGCACCGCCACCGCCTCCGTGTCCAGTGTCGCCGCGCCCTCCGCATCACGCGCCGCCGCCGCGCTATGTCCTCGCCGAGAGAGGGGGGGAAAGAGAAGAGAGAGAGTATATGACAGGTGGGCACCACCATGTTTTAAAAAAAGAAAATACTGACTGGGTTGACACGTGTACACCACGTAGGATAAAATCGCTCTGGATTGGGTTGCGGGGGATAATTTGTCCAGTATTAAAAGTTCAGGGTGAGTTATGTCTGGTTTTCGAGTTCAGGGGGAATTCAACCGACCACAATAATTCCGGGGAGGGGGGAGGTAATTCGTACTTTGTCCTATAATTAACAATAAACTAGAAGAGTGATTGAGAATAACATAGTGGATCTGACGGTTATATATGTAGAGTAAGAACGCGCATGGCGTGTTCTAGAAGGACAAGATGAAAGGAGGACAACACCTTTTAAATAGCAAAGATACAAAGCATTTTTAGGTTTCTCTTAGCAAAAATTAAGGTAGAGAAAAAAAATTCTTTTTGTCACTTAAGTGGTCAACTTTTAAAATTTTCAATTGCTTCGGTTTTTTTTCCAAGCATCTCATTAGCTAAAAATTATAGATTCCCATGTATTGCAATGAGTGGCTTATAATTACTCATCTTGTCGTATCAATTTTTATATTTTTGAACGAATTGAGTAGTTCGCAAGTCGCACGTAGGGGGAGTGCTTAGCACTTGAATGATGTCTTCAATAAAATGTTAAGTACATAGTTAAGTTGAAATTTTTCAAATTTTAGTTGAAAGTTTTGGGAATTTAAGTTGAAAGATTTAAATTATGAGTATAAAATTACAAATTTTAGTAAAAAGTGAATTTCGAGTTGAAATTTTCTATTAAAAGGTCTTCATTGCAATTTGCAATGGAATTTTAAGAATATGCAGAAATGGAAAAAAATAAAAATTCAAAAGCTGTCGATACTACTTAAAGTAGAAACTTATCGGAGAATGCTTTGCGTGGGTTAATCGATGGAAAAGAAATACAGAGTTGCTAAAAAACAGTCGACAGTTTTTGGGGCAAAAAACAGTCAAATGTAACTATAATATAGTTGTAGTGTAACTACCATGTAATTACACTATAGTTACACTGTAACTGCAGTGTAACTGTGGTGTAACTACGTTGTAATCTCTATATAAGTTAGATATGAAGTTATATTTATTATTTTAATACTTATATAAAAGTTATATTATAGTTACAGTATAGTTATACCGGAACTATATTACAATTATGCTATAATTAGATTTGAAAGTTTTTTGCTCTCTGCTGTCTCTCAACCAGATAAGAGAATATCAAGCTCCTTCCCAGCCACTCCGTGGCCCCTCTCGCTCTTCCTTCTCTCACACAGGTGCTTGGCGGTGGGCGAGAGATGCTTCTCGTGTCCTTCACATCATCATCCCACGGCTGCCATGAGCACCGCGTCCACTTTTTTTTTTTTTTGGGGGGGGGGGGGGGGGGCTTCTCGTGGGGTCACGTGGACATTGAACACACAAAAGTTGGACGAAGATTAAGGGCCCCAGGTAGATTTGGAGGTGGTGTGGCCCCTGTTAACCGGCGATGACGGGGTGATGAAGGCTTGGGGAGCAGTACTACCTACCTTGGTGGAGTAGAAGGGTCTTACGTCGTCCCGACGTGGATTTGTAGCGAAGACTAGAGGAGCCAGCAATCACCGGAGACGAGGAATAAACTAGATCTGGATTGATACATATTCTTTTGTGAGTTTTCAATGTTTTAGCCAATGTAGCCGGATGTTTCTTTAAGGTTGGATAAAAATATTGCATTGGATACTTATATGGTGTGTTTCATATTTTTTGCCTTCGATTTAATTTCTTGCACATCCATGATGTTTCACCGATTGAAACTTTGATATTTCATCTATGAGATTAAAATGTTTCAATTGTGATCAATTATGTTTCACATTTTTTAATAGTTTAAAATATTTTTTTTATTTTAGTGAAACATTTTTCTAGTAGTGGTGAAACATCGTCCCATTTTTGAAGAAAAGTTGGACACCTAATTTGTAGTCGCTGGGCACACACATCCGTACGCATCTTAGATCCAGACTCTGTCGGCACCGAGTGTTGCCGCACGCCAAACATGAATTCCATATTTCCACATAGATGAAACCGCCATCTCATGTGACGAAACTAAAAAAAATAACCACTTCTCGACATCCCACTCACACGTACTAGAATGATTACACTCTATAACCCCAATCATGTACGTCACTTTGACATCACATATGTACACGGCTTCATCTTTTCGCTTCTGCATATACTATTCAAACAACTTATTATCAACTTAAAAAAATAACTTATAAACTTTTATGTACGTGGTCTTTTACGTCTTCATAGTAATTGAAAAAACAAGTATTGTAAAATAAGTGGATGAAAAAAATCACAAGATCAATTCATAGGCTAAGTTTTAAAATTAAAATTTTGTCTATAAATATAAACATACATAGAACGATGGGGCTGATAATCCTGTAATAGTATATCACATAACCATGCATGCAGGGCAACGGACGTCGTGCTTCCCATGCACATGCACACCATATAGAGTAGCTAGTTAGAGTACAATACGTATTTGTGCTACGGCTAGATCATACTATTTTCGTTCTAAATGTTACTATCTAGTATACGATTAGATACTTTCTATTGTAATGAATTTAGGAAAAACCTTTTTAGTAATAGAAAGTATTACATTATATTCTAGCTAATATTTTAATATTTTGGAACAAATGAAATATCACATTGGTCATTAACATGTGGACCGATGATCTCCAGTCCCATACATGCCCGTGACAAAAACCGTGCCTGTAAAGGATCTCAATCGCTTGCGGCTGGTGGGTGGGACCAGACCATCAGAGAGCTTGGCACGGGGAGGGAGGGCAGAAGAGGCCGGAGCGCGGGGCCCAGAGGTCAGCGAAGGCGTGGAGGATGAGCGCGTGGTGGCGCGGCGAGTTGAGGGTCAGGAACTGGTGGAGCAGCGCGTTCAGCTCCTCCCACGCGTACATCTCCTTCTCCACCACCATCGCCACCATCGACTCCCGGAAATCCTCGTACGGCGCCGCCGACTCCACCTCCACCGCCACCGCCACCGCCGCTGCTCCTTCCTCCTCCTCCTCCTCGTCCCACGCCGCCGCCCTCCTCCTCCTCCTCCTCCTCATGTCCTTCCTCCTCTGCCGCCTCACCTCGTCCTCGACCTCGTACAGCGTGTGCGTGTTGGTGGCGGCGTACGTCGCGGGGCCCCACGACTCCTTGGAGGAGTCGACGGTAGTGGCGCTGGCGCCGGTGGTGGAGGTGGAGGTGAAGGCGGCGGCGGCGGTGGTGGTGGTGGAGGCCGACGAAGACGGCGGCGCGGACGACTTGGGCCTCGACACCGCCCTGCCGCCTAGTGCGCCGCGCGCGCGGGACACCAGCGAGGAGAGGAGCGAGCGGAGCAGCCTCTGCTTGGGGCAGCTGCAGCCGACGTCGTCGTCATCCACCACCGGCGGCTGCCGCAGCGGGCGGCGCCGAGCAGAACCACCACCACCACTCCCTGACATCAATGGCGCCATTGTTGACGCCTCCGCCTACAACTGAGCTGAGGGAATTCTTCTTGACGTGAAGAGAGCGCGAGAGGTGGTACTATATATCGTCACCCAAGCTGGCCTCACTGTGACTCGAGCGTGAGCTAAGTGAAACAGTAAAAAAACACGAGTGTGGTGAAACAGTAGCCGCGCGCTAGCGACGCTATGAGCCTACGAATGATGATGAATCATGGCGGCCGTGCAGCAGCACGGATGTACTGCAACCAGGGATCGATGGTGTGATTTGACGCGTCGGGGGGAGAGGAGACACAGGTTTTTACCACTGGTAAAATCGTATGGCGGGCAGGTGTGACGAGGGGCACAGGCGTAGTACGTGAAGAAGAAAGCCTGCTTCCAGTTGACTATAGCAACAGGGAGCGTGACTGCATGAGGACAAGTAGATTGAGGAGGGGCTTGCTCAAGTCTCGAGCAATAATTTGAGCAAACGTAGCGAGAGTAATTGAGGAGTACCCGAGTACCAGAAAAGTTTATTCAGTGAATCCTGAAATTGTCACGTACTTCCTCCCTTAAAAAAACAACTTACGCCGTGTTTAGCTCCAAAATATTTCTTCAAACTTCTAACTTTTTCATCACATCAAAACTTTTCTACTCCTACATACATAAACTTCCAACTTTTCCATCGCATCTTCCAATTTCAACCAAACTTCTAATTTTGGCGTGAACTAAACACAACCTTTATATGGGTGAATTTGAAAAGTTACTCGTCCAGCCATTTACAACACTCTACGGTGGTGTGAGAAAAAGTGAATACTCCATCTCAAAATATAAGTATTCTAGCTATAAATCTAGATAGTAGATTCATTGTTAAAAGTTATTACTCTCTTCGTTTCAGGTTATAAGACGTTTTGACTTTAGTCAAAGTCAAACTGTTTTAAGTTTGATCAAGTTTGTAGAAAAAAAACAGTAACATTTTCAACTCAAGACAAATTTATTATGAAAATGTATTCAATTATTGATTTGATGAAACTAATTTAGTATTATAAATATTACTATAAACTTAGTCAAATTTGAAACTGTTTGACTTTGACCAAACGTCTTATAACCTGAAACGGAGGGAGTATATTGTAAGACGTTGTACTGGACAAGGCCACTCGTGCACCAAGGCACGACTCTCTAGCCACGTTTCATGAGTAGAAGAGAGAGAGGGGGAGGAATGGTGGAGGTCAAGCACCAAGCTAAGCAATAGCGAGTCCTCACAGCTAGATGCGTAGATCCGACAAGGTCATCGCAACATTTGGGGTCATGGTCATTGCTCCATCCACCGCATCATCGGCTCGCTATCAAGATCTTGCTCGATCCTCCGTGTTCCATTGTGAAGCTCATTTGCGAAGGAGAAGAGGCGCCGTGGCGAACAGTCGAGGAAGACAAGAAGGGTTAAGATTGTCTCTATTCTCACTTCACCGCTGATAGAAGAGGGGAGGTAACGGTCCCGCCACCACGTTTGATTCACGTTGGGGAAGGAGAAGGAAGGAAGACACCAATAGTAGAAAGGAAGGATGGAGCAACGCAGATGGAGGAGAGGGCGATGACATGGAGGAAGGAGGGGCTAAGCAAGCATCAACGGGAAAACACCGATTTTTAGATCTAGGGAGGGGGATTGGATTCAGTTTATTTTTTTTTACTAGCGTCAAATGTCCGTTTGTTGCAACGGTATTAAAAATAAGTATCATACATCATTGCTATTCCAAATATTCAGAATTCATGTTACGGTTGGAATTTGATATACGGTTCCAAATATTCAGAATTCATGTTACGGTTGGAATTTGACATATTCAGAACATATGTGAGCCTTTTTCTCTATATGGCCTCGCTTGTGGGCGCTCACTTGGGAAGATAAAGAGGGATATTAGTGGCGTTGATTTCATCGTTTCGCGATCACGCACAGTAACGCTACCAATTAGACGAATTAGAGATGCGCCAGGAAATGTGTGTTCAATCGTGAATTAGATGAACCGATAGGTGAATGCAGATTCACCCTTCATTATTATCATAGAGTTTTTTTAAAGGAGTATAAATATATGAATTAAAAGAATATGAAACCTAAAGTACAAAACTTTAGAAGCCGATATGTGGCCTCAGCCCAAGTGGCACTTGGCTATTTCTATTGTGAATTCGCAAGTGCAAACTGCTTGTGAAGCATAAGGTATCCACGAGACTGTGAGAGGAAATGGGAATATGGGATCTAATGATCCGTATCATTTCTCCCATTTTCTTCCCATGTGGCCATATCATCGAATTATTTGGTCACTGCTCGACCAATCAGTTGGAAGGAATGCAGGATACAATCATACATGCCAGCATTAGAAGATGTGTAGGCAACCCGTGCTATTACAATTTGCTTGAAAATGAGCGAAGCAAATATTGGGCAACTAGCGTGGGCATTTGATCAGGCATAATCCTTCTACTATTAGCTACTAGATCATATCAAAATTTTCAGAACTGAAGGCAAATTTTATTAGTGTTTACAAGTCTTGGCTATTTACAACATGCGCCAAAAAGAATGGTTTGAATCAAAAGAAACAAAAAACAAAACCGGGCAACACAAACACAACACGCTGTCAGCAAATCAAGCCCACTTTGAGCTACTCAAAAAAGCAAAGGGGAAAGCAATAAAAAGGCCTTTTAAGGTTACAGATACTCACATCGACAGGCGGCCACCTTCTTCGTTCATCATTCCTTTGAAACTTCTGGCCAACCAAATTGCGGTCTCTCGCGGGGAGACCTTGTTCTTCCCGAAAGGCTGTAGAACAATGGCGAGTTCCTCCAACCTGTTGTTTTCCAGCAAGTCCGCAGAAAGCTCCAAGAGACCTTCTAGAGCCTCAGCTCGCTGCCTAAATGACGTAACATCAAGAGCTTCCTTGGCAGGAGATGCCTCCTCCTTGACTCCATTGCTGGCCTCGGACGTGTACGGTTTAACGTCCATGGCGGTAGATAATCTCACTGCTTCTGATATGGATGGTATGGATATGTTACTGGCAAGATTAGTTTCAGGCACGTTGAGTTTGGATCTAACTGGGGTTTGTCCAGAAGGTTGCGTGCTTGTTGAGCATGAACTGCTTCTTACATCAAAATCTTCTCTTACTACATTCAGAAGCTTGCTGGCAGCCGTGTCCCGAGCTTCCCCTTGAACTGTTTCTGATGTTGGCCACTCATCACTAACAAGGAAACTGTTGAGTCTAATAGTCTGTGCAGGAACATCAACTGGAGGGCCCGAATGTGAATCTGATTGTTTCTTGAATGACTGGTAAGAACTTTTATCCTCTGGCAGAGTGTTACTTGTGCTTGAAACAAAAGGAGAAATAACTGGTGTTGATGCAAGAAGTTCTTGGACAGTAAATTTGTCCTCACCACTTAGTAGTGTGACAGCACTGTGCCCATGCTTGCTGGATTGCGAATCATCCTTGCAGACAAACTCTTGTTCAAAACTAAGATAAAATGTATCCAACGGAGAGCTCAGGCTTGAATCATCATTACTAGCCATACTCTTCTGCAATGTGCCAGTGTGTATTTCTGAACATGGTATGGCTATTAGGCCATTCTCTCCTTTGGCATCAAGCACTGGGCCTGTCCACGGTGGAGTCAGGTAGGCTGGAGAATTAGATTCAAATACTTCAGATGGCTCGGCCTTTTCAACACAATCAACTACAGAATTTGAGTAAAAGCTGATGTCCTCCTTGGATGCTGCAGTCACGAATTCCAGAGGAGCTGGCATTGCCTGAGAATTACCCAGCTTGATGTTCTCTTCTGACAGATTTGTAGATATCGGTATCAAAGGAGGGAGATTATGTAGAGAATTATTTGGGCTATGGGCAGGTCGCGGCGGTGTTTTCTCACTCTCTGCCTTGATATGAGCTCGTTTTGACACAGTGAATGGCACGATTGGAATTCCTGCTACTGTTTGTCTCTGAGGACTAGGCCGTCTACTAGAACTAGGTGACGACTTGGTTTTACTCATTCCTGAAGCTGAGGAACCATTTTCTGCAATCTGTTTGGCAGGTTCAGGAGTTGAGGACCCGGAATTTTTTAACTTTGGACAATGCTCAACAGTTGGTGACTGCAAAACCAGAACCAAGCAAAACCTATTAGAAGAAGAAAAATAAATGGACGTTTTGTGATAAGAAATATAGGCTCATACCAGTTGTTTCAATTGCAATGGCACCTGGACTGGATCTACACATTCATCGCTTGTATTGGTCCATCCATTAGATGAAATGTCACCAAACTTTGAACTGTATGAAACACCACTGTGAGGCCTTGAGCTCTCTGATGATTGCTCTGCTTGATTCTTATTGCTAACTGCAGAAGTCAACTTTACACCACTAGAACTTACAGGAGAATTGTTTTCTCTAAGCCTACTCTCCTCTCTAAGAGTTGTCATTATCTTCTCAATTATTTTTGGCTGCTTACTCTCACCCCTGTGATGCTGATGTACACTTTTTGAGGAATCTTGTCTTTTCAGTTCAGCACCAGAAATGTTCTTGTTGCCTCTAAGATCTTCTGGTGTTACACATTTTTCGTCTGAATCAGCTCGGTCTGCATCTTGGATGCTTCTGATATCGTTAAGCTTGCTGTCAGTGCTAGGAGCGCCCCCTGATGTGCTTCTGTCACTTGATTGTGTACTGTCGATATCACTACAAGAAATGCTACTGCTTTGGCTCTCAGACGTGCATCTCTGATTACTCCGTGAAGTGGATAATGGTTTCTCTGGCATGCGTATGGGAGTTGGAGCATCAGAAAGAGGGCGGCATTGATTAACATAAGGTTGGAGATACGGATTCTTCAGAATCTCAGATGCCTGTTAACAAGATTTTTCATGTGTTTTCAGAATCCAGATGAAGAAATAAAGCTATTTCAAGAACTGTGGTAACTTACAGTAGGTCGATGCTCAGGACTTTTTCTCAACATGCTTTTGATAAGAGTTTTCCTGTACACAACAGCAATTAGAAGCATGTATACTTGCATTAAAATGGAAATGTGTTAAGGTTTTAGCCAATTTCATCTATTATGTATCTCCTGCCAAAACATTACTTGGTTGTAAAAAATAAGACGATGACTTGCTTCTATTGTCATTGAAATTACTTACAACATCACTTTTAGGCATGAAAAATAAAAATAAAATGTGGCTTCGATGCAATAAATGCACTTACATAGAAGAAGAGTAACAGGCAGGCAAGGGGCCAATGGAGGACCTATTTATCTTACTTATTAATCCAGCCATATCCTGCAGGTATTGTTGATTCATAAGATCACTGAAACTTAAAAGGCAAATACAAATAGTAGCATTGTTAAATAGCACACAAGAATTCCAATGTTCCATATTTTCTATTGGCAAAGTTCAAACTTCAAATAGATGTATTGACTTATATAGTTTTATTTGTTCTTTTCTTTTCTATGATTATTGTGGACAACACAATATATTCCAAATTATTGCGTTAGAGTCTACATGTAAATGCCTCAGTAGCATGTTTTTACGGAAGACCATATTGAAAGATCAAGGTGCACGTGTACAAGTAATGGTTGCAATTTTACATCATTACACCCAATAGATTTATTGAATTTTTAGTCGATTCAACCTGACCAATTACCGGTGGGCAATGGCAGGTCTATACTCCGTAGGTTGTTTGCTTCTGTAACCTGACCCAAAGTTCCTTTCAGCACCATCTTCAAACATCATACTTTTACATACTAATAAATTTAATTTAAGTTAAAAAATTTCATTGTTGTTTGTAATATAATTTCTGTAACAAACATTTTCAAATTAAATAAAGATGTGAAACCGGACAGTTAGTTAGGAATGATTTATACTACTTCCACCATAATATTCCAGTTTATCAAATATTAAAGTCAAGATAAAAATATACTCCCTCCGTTTCAAAATATTTGACACCGTTGACTTTTTAGCACATGTTTGACCGTTCGTCTTATTCAAAAAAATTTGTGAAATATGTAAAACTATATGTGTACATGAAATTATATTTAACAATGAATCAAATGATATGAAAAGAATAAATAATTACTTAAATTTTTTGAATAAGACGAATGGTCAAACACGTATTAAAAAGTCAACGGTGTCAAACATTTTGAAACGGAGGGAGTATAAGGCAAGAACCTTTTTGAAAACATGTGACACGAAAAGATAAAACTGTAACTCATATGACCCTATGAAAGCTAAACCTGTATATTACAATATAATAAAGCAAGAATATATGATAAGAGCCCAGTAGCTTACAAAAGCCTTGAAGGCAGGCCGATGAGCTGCCATCTCATACATACAGCACCCTATATAGAAAGCGTAACTTAAATTAAGATAAATATGCAGTAATATGAACTTGTAGAAGACCTGAGGAGAAAAAGGCAGTTACCAAGAGACCAGATGTCTGACTTGAATCCATAAGGGATATCTGTGAGAAGCTCTGGACACATGTAATTCGGTGTTCCAACAACCTAAAGAAAGCATTATGCTGTCAGTTTGAGCATAGAAAAATAATAATAACTTCACCTATTTTACAAATTCAGATAAATGTGTGTAAAAGAGATAACTATAAACAATGAATAATATGCACATGATGAACAGCATGGTTAGTGTCTTTGATGATGTACTGCATCGGTGTGTCTGACAGTGTCAATGATTAAAAACTTACAAAACTTAATAAATGTAATGCTCTTATCATTGTGGGGAAAATTAAGGTGATGCAATTTTTTTTTTACCAGAGACCAACCATAGAAATAGGAAAAGGAACATACCGAAGAAGTTAAATCATCTTCCTTTAAGGTCTTAGCAAGCCCAAAGTCTCCTGCATGCAAAGGCAAGGAATATGTGTAAGTTGATAAACCAATATGGAACCATCCAGACCTGTAGTAGTTTATTATTAAGGAACTAACCTAGGCGTATATCTTGATCTTTGGTGAGAAATATGTTGGAGCACTGCAATTATGACAAGAATATTGAAATCTACCAATTAAATAAGAGAAAATGATATTATCTGTTCTGAAGTTACCTTCAGGTCCCGATGCAAGACATAGTTCGAATGCAAATAGTCCACGGCTAATACCAGTTGAGCAAACCATTTCAGCAATTTCTGAGAAACATGCAGTATTATTAGCACATATTTGGATGCCTTTTTCCCTTCATTCTGACAAAAACAAAGAAGTCATTCCATACCTCCTCTGGGAAGTAAGTACCATTTAATTTCTTCATCAATTCATCCCTGTGATAAAAGAGAAAACTGAGATACAACAAAATATACAAAATGACATTTGAAAAACTAATCTAAAACATAATCTCACTCACATATCTCCACCTTCACAATAGCCCGTGACAATGCAGACATAGCAACCCTGCATTACTGACCCATGTCAACTAAATAAGTATAAACCAGATAAGCTAGATATAGTAAGTTCCTAATCCACAAACCTTCTCAACCCAAGCCTCTTTGAATTCAACAATGTAAGGGTGTTGCAACCGAGCAATCAGAGCCATCTGCAATTCGTTTTCGTCGTGATCAAATTCCTAATAATACCACTAGCAAACAACCGAACAAACAAAGCCTAGGGATTGCAAGCTTCCACTTCCACATTCCACTAACCTCTTGGTGAGCAGACTTGCGGCAACGCTCTGTCTGCCTCGCAAGCCGGATTTTCTTCAACACATACCTGTGCAACACAACATATATAAATATATGGTGACTAATATTAACAGCAAAATCAAACTCTTCATCTTAGTGAAAGGAAACATAAGTGTTATCAAGTTGTTAAAAAGATGAAAATAAAATAGAACTATGCCACTCACTTCTTCCTCTCAATCTTATGATTCACAAGGATTGCAGCACCAAAGGCGCCCCGGCCAACCTGCTCCATGATCTCGTACTGATCCATCCGCGACTCCATGTGCCCCAAATCCCTAACAGAACAATCACAGCTTCACAGCAGCAAGTCCACCCTAGATACCCAGACCAATCTCATTCCTACTGGCCGAGCGCGACCTCATACACCTCCACTCCACTGCACCAAGGCGATTTCTGCAAAGGCATCGAAACACTCACATAAGCCAAGCTCCCATATAAGCCAAGCAGCTTTTAATCAAAGCAAAACTCATCCAATCAAATCCAAAACAATGTAGGGAGAGACGCCATTGCGTAAGGAAAGGATTTAACACGCCAATCGATGAACTACTAGTTGGAATTTTAAAAAATAAAAACTAGCGCATCCTCAGAGGGAGCGTCACCGCAATATCAGTACCCAAAACAGTAGCAGCAAATCTGCCGATTCTGCAAGCAGCAACCGTCCGGCAAGCTGCACAGTGTTCCTCGCTTCCCACCAACCGCGCGCGACGACAAAGGGGGGGCGCCTTACCGCGAGGGTCTCCAGCCGCCACCAGCATTGGCCAGTCAGCGCGGCGGCGCTTCTCCTCCGTTTCCGGCAGAAACCGGCGATGTCGGCGGCGGGCGGCACGGGATTCGATTCCGGCGAGATCTCCGCCCCGCTGACGCGCGCGCGGGGGGGGGGGGGGGGGGGGGGGGGGGGGCGCGTCCCTCGAGGTGACGAGCTCTCGCGGTCGTCGCGGCTTGGGCAACTCCTTCCTTCCTTCCCTCCTCCCCGCTGGCTCTGGTCTTGGATTTGATTTGGCTTTAACGGTGTTGGTGTTGGCGACGTAGTTTGCTCGGTGGCTTTTATACGGCGTGGCATCGCCGCAACAGCGAGCGGTGGTGACGGGATGGGCTGGGGTTAAAAGCCTAAAGGCAAAACAGTAAAAAAAAATCGAGGGACGCGATTGGGTTCGACGGGGCTTTGCTAGCGTGGCTTCCACTAATTACCGTTGTTTACTTTCTCCGTACCATAAAAAAATTCAACTAGTATTCCCTTTTCACAAATTAATCGTCATATAAGGAGAATCATATTTTAATATTACGAATTTGTACATGTCTCTGTTTAGATTTTTAGCACTAAGATATATCATATTCGGCGGTAGTAATTTGTTTTCAATGGAACATCGTCTCCAATTTCGATTGTCCATCTTATTTCAAACTTTTTGTTATTTGTATTTTTATTGTTATTAGTTGACAAAACATAAATAATACTTTATGCGTGACTTATTTTTTTAAAAAAATAAATAAGATGCACGATTAAAATTGGACACGAAAACTAATGGTTGTGTTTAAAATGGGACGGAGGGAGTACAATTGGGTGTTGTGAAACAAAGAAGAGTAACAAAAGCACGGAGATATCGCCCTGGTGAACCAACGTTGTCTTTTTTTTTCCGTTTAAAAATGTTGAGCGATTCAAATGAACAAGGAATTATGTATCATTGGAGAACGATCAAGCGTATTGATAAAAATGACATTTATTCTAAGTATTCTAACGCCACAATACTACATTAATACATGATGTTAGCGGCCAAGCGACTAACACAATGGAGTTAAGGTCTCATGTCCATTGTTCGCTTGTTGGCTTGTTAGACGAAGCTAAAATTTAGGTTTTGAAAGTTAATTTTTTATTTTAGTATATATTTTTTCAGTATCATCTTTTAAGTCATTAAAAATAAAAACATAAAAGCTTTACTAATAAATTACTTTTAGTTGGTATGCTTATTTTTCAACGAGTTATTTTTCGGTTTATATATATGTGCTTGGCTATACATGGTGCATGTCAAAGCTACTCAACTAGCTAATACACCATTGTGTGTCGTCGTCTAACTGGTTGACCCTACCCTACGTTTTGTTTGAAAATATAGGTATGTTTTGGTTATGAATCTAACCAGAAATACTTATAATTAAAAATGTATGAGGTATGTGTAAAAATCATTTTGTGAATAAATTTATTGGAGGTATCAAGGGAGTAAACACTGCATCCGCCTAAGGTGTAAAAGCCATGTGGAAGATTTGGAGCGAGATAAATAGTAGTAGGAGTTTATTTTACCCTATGCCTTAAGTAGTGCTTAGAGATTTTTTTAATATACTTAACTCAAAAGGTATTGGACTATTAGCTTATTAGAAGCCCAATAGCTTTATAGTTTTTATCCATCTTTCTGGATAAGGATTTTCTACACGTAAGTACCATGTCACCCATTGTTTGTATGTGACTTAAAAAGTTATAAAAATTTTAAAAAGTTTAATAACATTAATTGTAACGATATAAATCTATACACAAATATGCAAGACTTTATTTGATCTACAACTAGAGAAATAAATATAATAAAACCAGACAGTGAATAGTACCTGTGGAGCGCAGATAAAATTTGTTATTTTTGTTTCATTAAGTGTAGATGAATTTAGATTTGCATGTTTGTATAGTATCTTATATTATCATACTCTATCTTATCAAATTTTGTGAAATTTTTATATAACCGTTTAAACTAAATGCATACAACCTAGGTACCATGGCACCTACTTCCTCCGTCTAAAAAAACTCAGCCTAGGAGAGGATGTCCAGATTTTTGCACAACGAATTTGGAAAAAGGTAGTCCAGATTCATAGTCCTATGAGGGATTAGGTTGAGTTTTTTTTGACGAAGAGAGTACCGGTAGAAAATATTTTTCCCCATCTTCCTGCATATATTGTTTCTTTTCTCGAAGTTCGATCTTAGGTAGGATGTAATTTCAGATAGTCACACTTTTAATTAGGTAAATCCTGTTTTTCTCTTGATCTCTTCGCCCTCTCCCATTGTTTGGTGAAGCTCTTTTTGCCGTTTTGCATGGTGGAGCATCACTCAGAATTTCCTTATGGTTTCCCATAACGATTTGATTCTCCAAAGTTCGATCATAGGGCCATTGATTTGAGCTTCCAACCTTCATCAACTTGGTTGACGCGATTCTTGCACGGAAGATTAGCTATAGTATGCACAAAATTGATGATTGGGATCAGGTATTCCGGTCGCATATACTGCTATATAAATATGTGCGGCGAGCAACCATCCAGACAGAACGAATTGATGTCTGAACCAAGGCTGAAACCGTGACGCATTGCGTCAGACATTGTCCCACATCCTGTTTTCTGTTTGGCATCAGGGCATGAGCAACAAAACAAACAGATGGTTAATTTACCGCTCACCTGTATGCCTCATTTTGCTCGTCTTTTGTTTCTTTTTATTTATATATACACTGCCTGGCCGGTCCATTTTGTTGCGTTGTACAGGCGATTACTTTATTAAGGTTAATGAGAATATGAGATAGTAGTAGATGGTTAACTTGAGATAAGATTTTGCCTCTAGTTTGGTAGTACTAATATTGAGGGTCCAATTTCGTGCCCAACTGGTACTCCATTACGCAGCTACTCCATGTTACTTCTTCTGTTCAAAATTATTACTAAACATGTTTGAAACCATTGACTTTTCTAAACATGTTTAACCATTCGTCTTATTAAAAAAATTAAGTAATTATTAACTCTTTTCATATCATTTGATTCATAGTTAAATATATTTTCATGTATACATATAGTTTTATATATTTCACAAAAAAAAATTAATAAGACGAACGGTCAAACATGTGCTAAAAAATCAACGGTGTCAAATATTTAGAAACGGAAGGTGTACTAAATAGTACACGATTAGACATTTTTTTAATACAATGATAAATTGTTGTACTTCCTTTGATTCCATAATTCATGACGTTTTGGAAAAGTTCGAGGTCAAAATTTTATAACTTTGATTATTAATAACTTTAAAAATATTTAGTTTAAACGAACTAGAATAACATATATAGATTTGTCTTTCAAAATACTATAAAAAAAGCAAACATGCATTTATTTATAATAGGAAAACAAAGATAAAGATATATTTTGGAGACTGTGTCATTGTCTAAAACATCAAGAATTATGGAACCGGAGAGAGTAATAAGTAAGAAATATCTAATGGTAAATAGGAGTAATATTTTAGTACAGATGTAGTAGTAATAAGCAGGATTTACGTTAGTACTACCAGTAGTACTCCAGGAGACCAGGACGGTAATTAAATTCCGAAGCAAGAGTAATGTGATCTCCCGGGTCAGTGAATACAGCACCGCCAACTCCACAAATCTAGCGGAAAACAGCTACTAGCTTGTTGCGCCACTGACAAGCGGGGCCCTGTCCACGCTCAGCAAATCTAGCTACTTCTTCTTCTGCAGCAAAGAGATCTACAGCAAAAATACGCCGTGCAAGGATGTGTCGAGTCCGTCAAAGGCTACGACGAGCAGATAACTGGGCACGGAAAACGTCGCGCCGGCACGTGACGGTTCTCTTTGTTGGGCCGCTCCTGTGCAGTTTTTATTAATTACCGTGGGGGTTTTCTGGCTTTTTCACTCGCCCAAACCGAAGCATTGACCTGTCTGTCTCCGTGTCAGTCAGGCCGCAGATCACAGCACGCGACGCCGTGCCGCTGATTCCCCGTGCTCCCCCTCCTCTCCTACTACGCCTGATGCAATTCACCGCGATCTGCTAGTTAATTACAGTTGCAAAAACGCACACAGTACATGTCACGTCGACCTTTCCATGTTTCTCCAAAGTCCAAACCCAAATCCACAAAAGGAAAACGCTACATTTTTCAGAACAAAATTTGACGGCATCCGAATAGAAAAGCTGTACGAAGCCCATCCAAGGTAGCCAGGTAGGTGCTCCGTTGGCGTCAGGGGGGGGGGGGGGGCATGAGAGGCCCTCAAAATCTTCTTGCTGTTGCCGTTTTAGCCTCTCGGAATATTATCCCGGGTCTTAAGAAACCCCCCGGTTAGATAGAAAGGACGGCACAACCACTGCAGGACGCCGTCGGAAAGCTACAAACGGAGCCGGCCGGGCCAGCGAAGACTGCGAGAGACCTGATTAGGAACAGAAGGTTAAGACTTGATTTTCTCTTAACCAAAGTTGATTAGCGATGGAGACGTAATATATAGTAGTGTGTTCTTAGCTATAGCTTGTTGGCTAAAAGAAATCATTGGAGGAAAAGCAAGAGGTGTGTGGTGTGGGGTGTGGCCGTGTCGACGGGGACGTTTCGCTTGTGTTGGCTAGATGATTCCATCGTGCAGCTTGATTAGTGACTGGTTAACGATTTAATTAGGGCGCGCATGCGCAAGCTCTGGCGGTTGTTGATTTTGGACTCGGGAGAGACCCGGAGACCGGCTTTGTCGATTAGTGACGTCTGTCTCTACCTAAACCAAACCTGTCGGTACATGTAGAGTGCTCTTCGTCGTCAGCAAAGGCGCAATACTTCTACACCGTAATTGCAACTCAAAAGGAATCAGTGACTACTCCTCGCATGCATTTACCGCAAAAAAGGTAGTGTTACTTCCGCATGCATGTAAACACGAAGATGCAACTAAAAGTGGCATTTGTTGGACTCCTTCAGAATGCTATTTTACACGAAGGTTTTGTTAAATTCCTTACGTTTCAAACAATTATATAGTACTAAATAAAGATATGCAGCATTGAAGGTCTTAACATAGAAAATTGAACATTATATAACTTCATAGTTCTTAGGATAATTTTTTGAAAATTTACATAAGTATAATATTACGATCAAAATCTCTTATTA